GTGACTGTCTTCTGGATGCATGGAGCACAAATCTGAGTATGTTTGCACCCATGAAATGTAAGACGATTATGAAGGAGTGGTCTACAATCACTCTCTGATTCATGTTTGGAAGTTGAGTGTTAAACGCATTCTATCACTTGATTAGCACCAGGTAGAACAGGTTGCTGGCTGACAAAATTTCTAGTCGGATACAGATGTTTGTTTGCCAATGGACATCATCCAGGTTGTCGATTATCTATCGAAGAACGAAAATACGTCACTTCAGTCCTTCATGTCCTGTTGTAAGGCTGTGAGACGTGTTTACTGAAATTTGAAGAATTTAAGAGACTGTGGATATTGTGGAAATGTGTAGATGATTTCTATACATACCTATTCGTGAAATAACCATTTAATTTGATGAAAATGTAACCACAGTATCGATAACAAAGTGGACTGTCGTCTATGCTAAATTGTTGAATTTTCATAGTGTGGTTATCTGCGAATACGACTGAATTGAGGGTGTTAAAGTGGAGATACTGTTGATTGTGTATAGTAGTGTGAAAGTGAGGTAAAAATCGATAATCTACTTATGTTTGACTTCAGTAGCATGACTTTATTTGGAAATAAGTTTCACTCGCCATTTGTGTATCACACTGAGATAGTGTCTCTGTTCAAATTATCATCTATTAATTCCCTGATTGTACTGCTGTTTATATTACTAGAACACTGAAGGGAGGTATGCTTTAAATGCAGTTAATGAATTGTATTGACTGGTTACATAAATGTCACCAGATATTCTGTGACACGGAACGTAATACGGACTACATATTATCTTTCGATCCTATTAATCATGAGAAGAGCTAGATGCTACTTTCTCTGTGCAGAATATTGACCCAAAGCTGGTAATTGTCTATGATTTCTGCACAGCTCTCCACGTATACTACTCAAACCCATCCTTATCAGTAATGCCAACTACAATTTGAATTCTGTTCGTTATTGTTTTAAGGATCTTGATCATTTGGATCGATTTAATTGCTGAAGAATCACTTCTTCAAGGCGATTCTTCTGGAGTAGTATCTAAATCAGCGATAACCTGTAAGAATATCCCAAGCTACTTTCACTATTCGCAGTATGATGCAGGCTAAACAAGAAAATACTAAAACTTCTGATTATTGTATATGCCACATTTTATAAACAAGACGTCCTACCCAATGGCTTTATTATTATTTGTCCCTCAGGCACCTAGTAGAACATAGGTCTTCAGTAACATGTCACTATTCCACTCTCTTCTCTCCAGTCTTCTCAATCTGGCTCCACAACAGCCTGCCACAAAACTTTCATTTCCTCCTCACACCATCTCCTCCATGTCAATCTCGCCTCGGACGCCCAACTCGTCACATCCCATCCGACTTCCACTCGATGGCCTGACCTGGTCTGACACATCACATCCCCAATCGGTCTTCTCAGTGTGTATGTCCACTTCAATCCATCTCCACTTTCTTCTTCTTCATTTTTGTTGGGCCATGGATTCTTGGTTGGTTGGTTGCCAGCTAGCCAGAGTTCCTCCTTCCTCATTCTCTTTATTCTGGCCATCTGATCTGATCTGATCTGATCTTGACTATCGAGTGAGCGTAGGTGGCAGCTGTTGTTCATGTATGTCTGCAGTTTGTTGAAATGCTTTTCGTAAACACGCCAAGTTTCTGAAGCACCACATAAAAGCATTGACTTGACTGACTAAGTGTTGAAAATCCGGATTTTGTTCAGGCTTTATGCTTAGTGGAGTGCAGTGAAGTGCATTGGAGTGGAGTGTAGCGCAGTAGATCTCCACACTGGTTTCAGGTTAATGAAGGGTTGTCTAGATGTCTTTCCGATCCTGACTGTCTTTGACGTTCTCATCTGTGCGTGTGCCACGTGTAGTTGAAACGATGCTGCCTAGGTAGGTGAAAGAAATTACTTCCTTTAGATTTCTCCTGTTGATGGTGATTGATCCTTGTTGTGGATGCTGTTGTTAGTTGTGTATCTTCATCACCTCTGTCTTCTCTACATTCAGTTGAATTCCCGTCTTGGCTGCCTCGCCTCTTCTGCCAACTTGTTGGTTTTTGCCTGTATATTGTCGACTTTGTGTGATATTCGAAACAAATCATGATCGGTGAAATGCAAGTCTTCTAGGCTTTTTTCATCTGTCAAACAGCGTATGCCAATCTCACAGCTCCCCACGGCTTACTGCATGATCCAGTTCAGTGCAGCCGACCAAAATCAGGAAGATCATCGGTGACAGTAGTCAGCAGCCTTATCTTACTCCTGTCTTCACTTCAAAGACATCACTGAACTTTCCATTGTCTATCACTTACCATGTGGCGTCGTCATATAGCTGTTACTATATGTTAATAACAAGATGTGCTACGTAATGGTTTTAATGAACACCTATCTGGAAACTGAGTGCAGACAGTTTAACCTTCCTGATATCGGTTCTATATCCAGGACTAAAAATGAAAGCGTTCTCCGATATCCAATCCATCGTAACAATTATGTTCGAAATCAAGAGTAAATCCTGTCATTCTCAATGTTATCGCAGTTATTAACCATCGAAATTTGTAAAAAGTCGAACTTTATCAGTAACAAGAACGATTTTAATGTCACTAACACAGTGAAGTATATGAAACACCGATCAATAGTTTTCATTGATGCATGTAACAAAGTTGTTTTGTTATGTGGAGATGAGTTTAGCTGCCTTAGTACAACGGCTACACTAAATCAGATTTTGCTTTCTATAGCTGTTTGATATCGGCCTACTTGGTGAATTTGAGGTCAACATGAAAATTAAATACTAAAATGCATCAGAGTCACATGACCCATTCGAAAATGAATGTAAGCATTCTAATCAAAGAGTTAGGTTATTCAGGTTGTGGTAAACCAGATGCTTGATGACAACTGTTGTTCCCACCTACATACAAAACACACTTCATAAGATTATGATATTTGACATTTTCAGTCATGTCACTAAAAATCTTCAACTACTGATTACTGTTGGCTCGAGGGCTCCAACCAGGCAGTCTACATCCCACCCCACGATTCAAACCAGTACCAAGAGACTTCATTGACCGGTGCCACGTTTTGGCCTGGCCACCCTGAATCCACTTCCAACCTTATCCAGGTTCCCTTAACTTGATATGCGTAGCTACTTCAATCTGCCTGTTGAAAAATCCTTAAATTGGAAGTAAGCTAAATGTGACTGACTGACTTGTGGAACTAATGAAATTGAAGGATGTTGGCAATCGGTTCTGTTATATTCAACAGATATCCCATTCAGTTAATGGATTTGATAAACAAAACTACTATTTTACTCACTAGAATTATGGTAGGTTGTATGACATCATCGAGAAATTAGAACTTTCTGTAAGGCAAGACACATGACTCTTAAGATTAAGTCTCAGACAGTTAGCCTGAATCGTATGATGACATGTAGACTGTCTCTTTGGGGTCCTTAAGACGATAGGAACCAGCAGTTGAGCACTCTTGGTGATATAATCGGAAATCGGTTACAGTGACATATTCAATCCTTGACATCTTCCTACGCTTAAATATTTGTCTACTTTGATAACAGTCTTTTTCTTTCCACCTATTCTTCTTTTACTACTGTGAAGTACGGCAACTTCAGCCGACGCACTTGTGTGCCGGGTTCTACATTGAGCTTGTCTGTCTGACGACCTAAGACACTACTCAGATAACCAGTTAAGCTACTTCGTTTCGAATAAAAAGGTTATTATGATGGTTGTTAGAGTCACTTTCTTCAAAATCACTCAAATGAAACTATATTAGTGACTCCAAAAACTGTAACGTAGTTGAAACTTTACTAATTCACTTTCTAGTTTCGACTTCTAGAATGGTTCAACTTTTCCCTGTGAATTACAGACATTTGTCGATTATCATTTATTAGTAAATGTTAGTAAATTCCTTGCCGTTGGTCCATATTTCACTCTTCTTTTCCCTTCCAGATCTTAGTGCTGGCAGGACATACTGCTAAACCTACCCACACTCGTTTCCAAGACCTTCCCCTTGCAACAACGTATCCCCAACCTGTGCAGAAAGCTACTAACCGATGGCCGTTACAAGATGAGTCAGTCTAACTATTGAAATGACAAATTAGGTTTTTTTATTTCGTTTATTAAAATTGACTTAAAAGGTTACCTTGGGAAATGCTGAAATAACCAATAAGATTTCGGAGTTTCGGTTGAGAAATTAGCGTCAAGGAATGAATAATCTCAGCAGTTGTTAGAGTGGATTTTACAGATCAATATTGCTTTCGGCGCATCATAGTACACACTAATCACATAATAACTGAACACACAGACACAGACTAGCTCAAAAAGCCAATATAACAACTACTAAAATAACCAATTCGATGTCTCTTCCATGTAAAAACTACTATTGCAACTAAAATAATCTACAAAATTCAGGTGTAAAGTATTAGAAAGAAGTAGTCGGTTGCTTGATTTGGTTGTTCATTGGCTTAACTAGCTAAGAACTGTGTTACGCATGTCTAGTCACCGTCAGTCTCGTTAGCCGATGTAGGTTTAGATCGAAAAGAAGGCAGAGGTGACCAGATAAAAACATGGCATCAGTCCATAAAGTCTTTGAATGCTCGTCCGAGCCATTTAATGAAATATAGACTTCCTTGTTGACATTTGAACGACAGCCGTAATCCATAGCTGCAAACTCTAAACGCGATATGACTCAGGATCCATATCACTGATGCAGATGCATACATACATTACAAAAACCCTATTCATCATACCGAATTTCATTATTCTCTCATTCACGCTTGTTCTCTTCTTACGATTGTTTACTAGTTTTGATTGTCTTTTTCCTTATTCTCTCTATCATACGTCTTGGTGACATCTTCCTTGATATGCTGATATAAGATGGGGCAATCTGGACTGTCATACACTAATCACAAGTCCCATGTGGAGGCTGACTGACTGACACTTCTGGTCTGAAAGAAAGTAGGTAAAAATATTATTGATGTATGAAGGATGTATTTTGAGTACAACAATAGTAACGAAGATCACTTAGAAAGGTATTAAAACAAGATTAAAAAAACACAAGATTTCAATAACATCAACTATTTGAATTCTGTGAATGACCAAGTTTGATTAATTCCCCCCTAAAAATTAAAACAAAAAAGCAACAAGAAAAAATGAAAATCATCTTAAATCAACAATAAAGCCACCATAATAAAAAAGAACTCCAAAGTATAGTTTAATTTTACTAGACAATCCTGGTCCTATATGCATAATTATTATTTTGACCATTTGTAGTTCGGCAGACTTCTATTGAGACTGATGAATGATGATTTAAAGTGAAGTGAGAATTTGAACCGCAGCAGGATCTCACTCAGTGATCACCCAACTTCTCATCCCATCAATTACTAAGAGTTTCACCCGACTGCCATGTGAATTCATGATGCGTTACGATTGCCTGGTCATATTCACCCTACCCGCCCCACCAGTCACGACTTCTCATACCAGTCTAAAACAACAGGAGCATCATATTGACGGTCGAGAACATGAGAAGGCTTCAGCTATTTCACCACTGACCTTCGCGATATACGCCACATATCGAACACGGAATACAGGAACATACTCAAAGTGTACACAAATAGTGACTGTCTCCTCCTGTATATTATACTTCAATAATTTCTAAATATATCAGAAGGTAGGACTGCGAGACCGATTTTCACTCTACTAATCTAGTATTCTTATATCTTCATCAGTAATGAAACATTTTCACTGATAGTTGCTACCTAGACGTGATGGTAAGGTTGGCACACACCAATGACCGAACGAGCTATCCCAATGAGAACAATTCTTCCTGAAAGTCTTACCACACCAACAAGCCTTGTCGAATACTGACAACACTATAGGTAGTTGACGAGATACTGTAAACAACATTTCGTGTGGTGGAGATTTGAGGGTGAAGTCGAACTCAGTGGACTAAGGTGTTTTCCATAGACGACCAGTGCCTCATGCTGATACCGCCTTCCATGTCGTCAACACTGGTGAGGAAACAATGACTTCAAAATAGAATACTCTTGCCCCATCTACTACCACTCGACGTTGGCGGTATTGGTTTTCCTTGTCTGGTGGTAGAACAATTCGATCACAATCAACAACCTTGAAAACGTCATGAGCTGGTGTGGCTATTCACTTGACCTCATCTCACCAATGTGGCCAATTAACAAAATTCATCTTGTGAGTGTCTGGAAATTTAGTGGCTAGATTGTGTTGACTCACTAGTGTAGGTTTTAGGGAGGGGTTGGGGAAGAAGGTGAACCTTCTGATTTGATATCGACAGAAGTAGACAAAACCCAGTGACTTTCCGGAACATCATCTGAAGTGTCTGCATCAGGAGAGGCATCTGGATTATCTGTGACAGAGGCGAGGAGCGAAGGCAACTTAAACGTATACTGTCTAAGAGTCTTCAGAATGATGGTGAGGAGTGATGAGTTGGTGAAAGCGAAGAAGGTGGATAAGTCATCAGCATTCGGCAATCTTTAGTAATGATTCAGGCTCATTAGGGATGCTGAGAAAATGCTTGGTGTGACGGGCACCGAAATCCATGGGACGCTGATAACCTACCATGACAGGTGGCTAGAACGTTTGGGAGAACATTTTGAAGCGGAGTTCAAGTGGCCGATACTAACTTTTCAGTTACCGAACATTCTGTACATCCTGAACCTGAATGATATGTAGTTATCGGTCTTCCAAGTTCATTTGGAGTTAATGGAGGTGTCTGAAACCTGAAACGACTCAAGGCAGCAAAACGTGACAGTTCGCCACTTAATGTGTTCAGTCACTGAGTTAGGAATTTTTTGAGTAAGGAAATGCAGGTACTAGGTAGTGCATGGCAATCAAAGGTAGTGTCGTCAAACTGGTCTACTTTACTGATCAGCCCAGTCTATAAGAGAGAGAAATCTTTTTGTGACGATCATAGGTGAATTGCTTCGACGAATATCGTGTCTAAGATCGCAGCACAGCGTTCTTAGTTATCTGACACCTAACCGGAAATTGAGGATGGCAACTTCGAGAAGACCATGCAGATTTCAGACCTGGACGAGGATACATTGACCAGATTTCCACCCTTTGACAGGTTTCGGAACGCACTGTTATTGATTTATCGTAAAACGAGGACTCATTTCTCTGTATTAGTCAAGTGTGTCATCAATCACACATGTTAACTTCCCCACCAGATATTCTCAATTTACATGGTTCGCTCATCATATACCTTTTTCAACATTGTTCATTATACTTCAATCAATACAAGTTGGTAGGAGCTATGAAAGTTCACAGGACGCTAACAAGTAGTAACAGTTGTTACGTTCATAAGGTTATCCAGGTGAGAGGGCCATAAAGAACTAGACGAAAGTATCGAAAACAGTCCACGATAGTTTATTCATCCATACAAATGAATATCTATGTTAAACTGCCCTTCAATTGCAAATACTATTCAATGCCAAGTAAATGGTGCAGACTGAAACTTTAAATGTAGTTGAGAAGTTAGAAACAGCCGAGTTTCATGAGAGTTTGCCTCCAAAAAATCACCTTCAGAATAATCATTGAGAAATACCAATGAATGTTGTCGAATAATATGATCGAAAACGGATTTCTTTACAACCATTCACAATTACAACAGTTCATAAGAACGAATGGGAGAAGTTAAACAAGCACTTGAAGATTATAGTTCCACAGTTATTTAACATGTAACCACCGGTGCTGAACAGAAGCTAACTCAAGACAACACTATAGAACCTGTAGGATGGGAATACGATATACCACCAAAATCTCTACTAATAACCACATTCTAACCAACCAATATAGCTATGCACCTATCGTGCATAGCTATATTGGTTGGTAAGGTAAGTCAGTCGGCTAGGTTGTGAACCTTCATCGACTGGAATGGTTGGGACACGTACTACGTATGCCTAGTCACCAATTGCCTCGTCACACAATGTTGGCTGAGGTGGGTCCAGGATGGAAAAAGGCTAGAGGTGGCCAGACTAAAACATGACACCAATGTATGAAGTCTCTGACTGTTGGTTTAAGCCATGTAGGACGATGCAGACTAGGTGGTTGGGGTCCACGGGACAAGAGGAACCAGTGGTTGGAGACCCTAGGTGATATGGCTCAGAACCGAAGTCAGTGGCGCAGATGTATACACACATTATCCTCATCTTAACAACGCTATACCGAATCTCACTATTTTGTCACTCCTCTTTCCTTTCTTCTCGTACTTTGTATTTCTTTTGACTGCATTCAATTATCTTCATCCTTCACCTCACTACCTTTTTACTTGATGTGCTGATATGAGGTGTGGCGACTCGGACCGTTACGCAGTAATGCCTGGTCCTATGTTGATAATGATGATGAGGATGATGCACCTATCCTAACGATTGCATTCTTCAAAATCTGAAGAAACTATTCAAGAGGTACCTTTGTATTAAACATATTTAAAGGAAGCTCAATAACTTTACAAATAATCTGGTGCACCGAATTCATTGTTTAAACTTCCAGAACAGTAACCTGTCTTGCCTAAACTAATCGTCTCTTTCCTTACCTATTTACAATATACTACTTGACTATAAAGTGTTATTTGAAGGCTGGAAGATATGAATATACTTTGAAATGTACACTTTTCGTTTTACCAAGCTTCCCTGTTGACTGAATGTATTTCCTATTGTTCTATGAAATGGCATCTTGCATCTTACTCCAACAACTCCTCCTTGCATAACGCTTTCAAGTTGATGGTTACACATATGCAATAGACCTCTCAACCATTTCAATCGATGAAGGCTTGAAGAACTTACTGATTTATCTTATTTGCTTGACTAAGTATTCTACACATGCAGTCATGCAATCTCTCATACAGTGATTCAATTTGAGGAGATTTCAGTATTTGTTTTCTACCTCTGATAGACGCATGATTCTTCAAAACTATACACTAGATCAATATCTTATTCAACTATACGAAGTCAAATCACAGCTTATTCAATCATTGGTATTTTATTCTCTGAAAAACGTAATATTTTTTTTCAATAGCAATCCATTGCCATTTTTCGATATCACATGTAATAGTCATTGGAAGTAGACAGTATAAGAAGATATAAGTAGACATACTGGAAATATCCATCAATTTAGTTGATTAGTTTGCATAGTTTGAATGACTGATTTCAAAGTGGTTTCCATCAGTGATTGGTATCAGTTGAAATCAATCACCATAAATGGCAAGTTGAGAATCACTGTCCATTGCTTATTAACAACCTGCTTTGAGGTGGATTTCTATACGTTCTGATGATCAGCGGTGCCATGAGCCTAGTCGGATGTGACGCTAAATACATGCCAATATTATTGGAGTGGAGCCGTAGCTCATTGAATAAGAAAAATGAATATCAATCAGTGGGTCACAGGTTCTCACCTCACTTCATTTACTGAAGTTTCGGCAGTCAAGTTGTATCAATAAGTCTGGTTCATTGCCTTCTACACGAATGTGCTCAAGGCTGCTGAGTGCATTCCATTCATTCAGTGGCGATCTACATTAGCTCCACACGGCTTAGACCAAACTCAGGAGACTTCATCGCTTGGTGCCACGTTTTCATCTGATCAATCTGAACCCTCTCATGACCTAATCCAACTTCCTTCAGCGTTTCACGTCGCACGTCGAAGGAGGCTATGGCTCAGCCTGAGTAGTACATATTCAACCTATCTCTAGCATTGTCTAATTTGTTGGATAAACCAATAAAATACGTTACTAACTACACTCCGTAGTGCTGGTTAGAGTCTAGTTAGTTGATATATTCCACATTTGAGATTCTAATAACTCCTAACCATCCCAGTTTCTGTCTAACATCCAACGAAATCTATTGAACCTGTATGAGTGTGTTTGCCTCATTGGATTGCTTTCTCAATTTGCTATACCGTTTATGCATGTGATAAAATGAAGTGATGGAATAGTGTCGGAAATTCTGATTTGCTGAGTCAATCTTTTGCAATTTATGTATATATATCTGAAGGAATTTTTCGACAAGTTTGGTGACGAAGATCAGAGAAATAAACCAAACACGCAGTGATAGATTATTCACATGGAAATGATAATACCTAGCAGAAAATTAACAATTTGATGTAGCTTAAACGTTGATGAAAAATTTAGTATTTTTTATCATCTAATCAGAAATGAAATAAAACATTCATACATAGTACTGACAGCATATTATACAGTTCCATTATCATCATGATGATTATAGGATTTCTGAGTTTGTGGTTCGGGCGACCAGAAAATGATTTCAAAAGTGAACTGTAAAATAATGATGTTGCATTGAAAGTTTGACTCCTACTGAGAAAATTCAGCATAACTGAAGAACTCGGTTGTTGTCAGTTCATTTGTCGCGTAACATTCTACGCCTAATCTTTGATGGAACCATTCAGTGATTGTTAAATTTATTCAACAAAGCTTGTTGAGTATTCGGTATAAATGGATAAAGCTGATTACACATGATGATCATGATGATGATGACTTCACTGTGCATGTGTGTAGCGTGCGCCTTAAATATGAACAGTTCAAGTAGTATGACATGACACAGCAGTTGAAATACTTGATTTCTGTGTCTGTACCACCAATAACATACGGAGTAGATTACTGAATAGAATCACTGTCACTCGAAATATTCCCTAAAACACTCTCGATGAGTATTAGACGATCTTGTATCCAGAAAATACATTGCTGAACAATGGTTAGGCATTAGATGAAGCCATCATCTACACGATGACATTGAGTTAAATCAAACTTCGTTGGACTATGCACACACAAAAGGATGAGAGATAACAATTAATGAAGACAGTAGATTCTCTGAAGAAGCGGCTTCCACGAAGTCACAACACATCAGATATTTAATTGTTCCACTACAGAGAGATTGTACAAATACAATTCCTTCACAAGCCATTTATCCAATCCTCAACTCGTTCACTACTATCTAGTCAAATATTGATCCTGAAGCCAGTCAATCAGATTAAACAGAACAAGAATTTGGTTGGAAGAAGGTAGAACATCTGATGTCACAGCTATTTTAAATAAATTTGAAGAAAACATTAGTCTTCTAGATGTACTTCTGTTAGGAATAACACTCAGAAGTATATCTAGCGAAATCAAATTGAAAATAGAAGCTGAATGCGGTTACGGTATACAAACAGGAAGTTACATTCCAGACAAATCTAATTGGGATACTGATAGGAAACGGCCTATATGGAAATCAACATTTTACGTTATCAACCACTAAAGTAGATTTCATATCTCCATTTTCATTTCATGGTACTGTGCAGTCAGGAAACATCTTATTGGACAATTTGTCATACAATTGACCAATCAGAATAAGTCAGTTAACGTTTCACCTAGTGGTTTTATATGTTCATGAAAACTGCACAAAAATGAAGTGTCTTCCTTATAATCACAGGCAGCTGTTGGCTTTCTACTTTTCACAGCTTAATAAAGCATACTGTTTTGAGGGATAACAGTCGATATTCATATCTTGTCAAAGTGTTTTATCCCACGTTCTTATTGTTTATGTATTTATTACTATTTCACTCGATCAATCCAAAGTGACTGAGTCGATTGCCGTCCACGACTGGTTAGTAGGCGTATCAACCAATCGTGTTCACCTGTTATTATGCAGCTTCATCTAAAAGTAGTCGAAACAATAGTAAACCCTTGTCCGTGAGATAACCAAGTGAAAAGAGGTAAGTATACACATTTCACAGAGGCATTTGGGATAAATATATTATTCTAAACAGACAGAAAATTCGGATTCTGTCACTGAGAACGCTAATACTGCGATAGACTTCTGGAGTTTGGAACTTCCGTGATCGAGGTGACCTGGATATGTACTGTTAATGCAATATTGGACGAAGTGGGATTGAGTTAGAAGACCTGCTGTGACCAGACTCAGAATAGGTATCTATCTATGAAGTCTCTGAGTGCTGATCTGAGGTCACTAGCATATATGAGGGTGAAAACAGCTGGACTGTAAAATATTGGGTTTGTTCTGTTCTCTGAGCTGGATGGTTCAATGGTGGAGTTTTCATCGTCTTTCTAGACAACATTATCAGCACTAACTTCAGCAGGAAGTGAGCTGTCAATATCTCTCCGTAAGTGATTTAATACATTGCCCTGACCAACTGGTTTGTGATTGGTTGTTTCCTTTGATTGTTGTGTCATCGACTGCATAAATCTTCCTGTTTCCTGTCCCTCTGATTGACCTCTGACCTTTCTGTCGTTTATCATTTCTCTCACCGGTTGATAGATTGGGTCTATGTCTATACATCCAGTGATTGCTGACTGACTGATCTGAATGTCAAGCTTCTATGAATTCTCTGATATTCTTTGTGTTTCCTCTCTCCGTCCAAAATTTCTACATTGTCGAAATTGAATTCATGTCCATAGTTATCCAAGTGAATTGAAATGAGCTACGAAGTGTCATGACGTTCAGTATCCATTTGGTGTTCGTGCAGATGAAGGCAAAGAGGGCGACTACTTTGTCCAATGTAGTGTTGACTACAAATATTGCAGTTGATTTTGTAAATGATATTTAGTTCATCTTCTTTGGTTATTCCATCCTTTAGTTTGCATAATACGGTTTCAATGGAATTCATTGATTTGTGACCCAAGTGGTTTCAGTAATCTAGTCGTGATGTCTGATACATTCTTTATGCATGGTACAATCATCCATTTGATGATTTCTGTCGATTACTTCGTAGTTAGTGGTGCACGAAGTAGGCATTTTGTGATAAAGTTTCGTGGGTAACCGTTCTTCTTTAGGACAGACATCAAGTAATTTTCGCCGTTTCTTCGTGGATTTGTTGTACTGTAGTGTCTGCACAGAACTAACAACGTCCGCTGTTGGGTGGTTGCCACTATAGTTGAGGATAGGACACAGTACTGAATCACTCACGGTGAGATATTGAAAGCTCATACTTCATACTGAAGTTAGTGCGCATGATGTTGTGTAGAAAGATGATGAAAGCTTCATGTTTAAACAACCCAGCTCAGAGAACACAATACAACTAAGATCATCCCACCTGAGTTACAAATATTCTCCAATATTATGCTAATATTGGAGAAGATAATTATGTGGGAAAAGAACTTAATAAAACATTTATCCCAATTGATGAAGTATACATATAAACCTATTTAACAAGTCTTACCTTAAATATTCAGTGAATTGGTCGTCTGAGTCAACTTCACAATCCCATTTATCATCCCAAACATGAAGATCTGAAGCCTCCTCTTCAGAAGGAGACCAGACTATTTAAACAGAAGGGAATGGAAAATACTTGGATATCAAATGAATCAGACCACAGCTATTAAAACATCATATACATATATATATATATATATATATATATATATATATATATATATGAGAAAGAACAGGGGAATAGTGTATCATCCCTATATGTTCACCTCATCGGGAAGATGGATGAATATATTAGGAGGAATATTTATTGAAAGAACACATAGACTGGACAATATTATTAATCTTCATAGCTACACATTAGTCCAATATAAAATGCCAGAAATGACTCTACTGAAGAAGAGATTGACAAGCTGAAGATAACATTGCAACGAAATAGTTATCCACTAAACTTCATCAATAAACGTATGTTAAGACTTAGAGAGACGATAAAGCAGGACAACCCAGCTTAGAAACTAAATTTCAAAGGTAATACAGCCTTGGATATCTTAATACGCTGACTGATTAGATCTGTCGAAAGGACATTGACTTCAGTAAAACATTTTATCAACTTCTCAACCAAAGCATTACTGACATAGAGAATCAAGGCTAGGCAACCAATGATGGTCAATTCAATGAGAATTTATGAGTTCAATGGTTCCTGTGAAGCCAGTTACATAGGCCATAAAGAAAGAGCTCTATTCATCCGTTGTTGTCACCATCTGCCAGTTTGGTTAGGGAAAGGAATAACAAAGTGCAACAACAATGCAGTATCTTCATATTAAGTAGACAGATATCAGACATCAAATCAAGGTAGATCACATCTTTTCTGTGATGTATCGCGTCCCTTGCAATCTGTTCTAAGGAGCATGATTACGCATCTTATTCTTAAACCTGAGCCGTAGAAACTAATACACGAAAAATCTGAGCTGTGTTGAAAAGAAATATGTGTATCTACTTTGTCAACCTTGGTCCATAATAGAGTCAATACGTTCGATATGAACTTTCCTACCACAAAGTTCACATTTTTAACTCCACTCCTCTTCTTTTACTTCGTCTCTCTCATTTCATTGCTATGTGATTTCAGTGGTTTAACTTGTTTAAAAAGACTAACTGTAAATTCGATGATTTCTACCATCAAGGCGTGGCACCAGTCAAATATTGTATCATACATAAACTCATTACATTATGTTACTAGTAATTAAAACAACTGAAAATATTTTGATAGGATGAAACTTGATCAAAAACCTTTAGCGTATACATTAACTTATTCAACCCTGAACTTAAAATCTAGAAACCAAAAAGTGGATAGTCAGTAAGGTAGGATAATCTACCTTAGGATTAAAGCATTCACTAGCCAATACTAAGTTTCCAAACTTTATGTCTAAATATGACTAACTGTTGAATGAGGTTGATAAAGGTTTGTGGCACTAGAACTCTAGTGTTGAAGCAGCTGTCAAATTACTTCTAAGTCGATGCCTTGATCGAAGGCTTTTCCAAAGTCGATGAAGTTGAGGTGAAGAGTTGACTGCTATTCTATGATGATGCGCAGTGTTGCAATTTGATCCGCATATGATTTTTTTCCTTCTGAAGTCAGCCTGTTATGGTTGTAGTTTTGAATCCACAGCATTTTTTAGTCTCTAGGATAATGCGGCAACTGTAATCATACTGTTAAGATATCATAATGCTTATTTAAACATCCGTTGAATCAAATAGAACTTTGAAGATTCAGTATTGGTGATTTCAATAACCTGATAATATCAAAAAAGTCAACTACATTGCTCTACTTTGCTGTATTTACAACGACTGAAGTAAAACCAATTGTAATATGTTCACAAAAAAACTCCTGGACAAACTTTCTTCAGTATATATCTGTATAGCACATCTGGTTTAAGCATTAGACAAACTATAAAACATACACTCTTTTTCGAATTCTTCAAATTCTTTATCATCCTTCAAAATACCCAAGGCTTCCTCGACACGTTCTGCACCCTGAGATGATTGATCACTTGACTAGAATGAATTCAGAAAAAAAAGTAGAGAGATTAGGCGAAGAAAAAGAAAGGACTCTCATGAAGTGCTTAGAACGTTTCTGTTCAGGAGAGTTCTAGTTTCACCTAGATAATTAATTATTTATAAAATTTCGATAAAAAGTGAAATTAAATCTGGTGGGCTGCATAAAACTTAAGGCTACCAAAGTTCTCCACCGATCATATTACGTCTTTAGGTCTGGAAGCGAGGGAAGGTACCTGCAGATTGGAAGAAAGGCTACCTTGTCAAACTCCCGAAGAAGGGCGACCTAAGTCTTCGCAAGAACTGGTGCGGAATCACGCTCCTCTCCACACCAAGCAAAATATTAAGCCGCATCATCCTGAACAGACTAAAGGATGAACTCGATTCAAAACTACGACAAGAACAGGCAGGATTCAGGAAGTATACATCATGTGCAGACCAAATTGCAACGCCATGCTACGCATGATGAAAGAAGAGTATAGAATGGCAGTCAACTCTACAACTCAACTTCATCGACTTTGAGAAGACCTTTGACAGCGTCGACCGACAAGTTTTTTGGAAACTGCTTCAACACTACGGAATACCACAAACCATTATCAGCCTCATTCAACAACTATATGAAGACGCCATATGCCAAGTAATTCACAATGGGAAGCTCAGTGATGCCTTTAAAGTGAAGACAGGAGTAAAACAAGGCTGCCTACTATGAACGATCATCTTCCTGATTGTAGTCGACTGAATCATGCAACAAACAGTGAGGAGAGAGAAGAGGGGGATACGCTGGACCATGAAAAAGAACCTAGAAGATTTGGATTTCATCGATGACTTCTGTCTAATGTCACACAAACTTGAAGATCTACAGGTGAAAACTAACAAGTTGACAGAAGAGGCAGGGCAGTGAAGACGGGACTTCAAGTGAACGTAGAAAAGACAGAGGTGATGAAGATACTCAACCAACAACACCACCACCAACAACAAACTCCAATCACCATCAACGGGAAAAACGTAAAGCAAGTGGCCTCCTTCACCTATCTAGGCAGCACTGTTTCAACTTCAGGCGGCACAGGCACAAAAGACGACGTCAAAACCAGCCAGCATCGGAAAGACAGCAAGACAGGCGTTCCTTAGCCTGAAACCAATGTGGATATCTTCTGCACTCAGCATGTGGAACAACATCCGGATTTTCAACACCAATTAGTGCTTCCGTATGGTTGACAGACTTGGCACGTTACGAAAGGCAAACTACAGATACTCATCAACAGCTGCCTACGCTGGCTCGTTACTGAAGATCAGATGGCCAGAAATAATAAGCAACAAGGAACTCTGGCAACGAACCAACGAAGCAAGAACCTATGGCTGAACAAATATGCAGTGGAAGGAAGTGGAGATGGGTTGGGCATACACTGAGAAGGCTAACTGGGGACATCACGCGTCAGGCCAGTTGGTCGAGTGGAACTCAGATGGGAAGCGACGAGTTGGGCGTCCGAGGTGAGGGTGACATGGAGGAGATCGTGTGAGGAGGAAATGAGAGCTTCTAGGCAGGCTGTTGTGGAGCCAGGTTCAAAAGATTTCAGAGAAGAGAGTGGAATGGAAACGTGCTACTGAAGACCTACGTTCCAACTGACTGTTCAACATTATGGTCTTTAATAGGGCTATTATTAACGTCACTCGGACGTAGTAATCATTACATTTGAAAATAGCTTTCTGGTAGTGAACCTGTTGAGAATTCTAAGCTGTATAAAAAACGTTGGAATAAAGTGATTATTATTAAATGTACCTACAGTATGATCAGAGGTAAGAGTTTACCAAACAGAATTAGCTTTCTATGTTATTGATTATCACTTTAACTATCTAATATAGCCATGGTTTTCTATTGATACCGTTGATGATTGAAGGTGAATGCTAGCGATGTCTAAACCCTAAGAAAAACAAACTAATAATATGTATGTATTAACATTGTGAAATTTTAACCTTAAATTCGCACCCTTGTTATTCCCCGCAATGTTACTTATTTTTACCGCGATTTAGAATACTAATAAATGTTGGTTGGTTCATTTTACACTTCTAACATGCTGTTATGTTCAACCTGGTCAACGTCATCTGAAAGTATACTTTTAATCCCATCGCCTTCTTCTGGTGTCAGTAAAATACTGTATTGAGAACTCATTGTCCTATCGTTAATCTTATTACCGGCTTTCCACCCCGGTCATCATCATCATCAAGATCAACATATGACCACGCATTTGTGATTGTACAACCGTCTAAGTTGCCACACCTCATATCGGGACATCAAGTAACCAGACAATAAAGTGGAAGATGAAGAAATAAAAACTGGTCAAAGGAGGAAGTAGTGGAAGAGAAGAAGGAAGAATGAGAAGTATGGCGGTTGAGATAAGGACATCGATTCCGAGCCATGTCACCTACATTCTTCAACCAATGATTTCTCTTAGCGACCAGACTCAAACCAGATATTCTGCATTCCCCCATATGGCTCAAACCAACAGTCAGAGACTTCATCCATTGATGCCATGTTTTAGTATGGCCGCCTGAACCTACTTCGGCCAACATTGTGCGATGAGGCAGATGCTAGCTAGGCATACACAACACATGTCACACCCAGCCATCTCAGTCAATAAAGGTTCACAACTACATCAACTGACTTACCTCTCCTGCCTATAACTCTACACCTGACTTCTGAGTTACTGATACAGTGACACCACGAAACACGGTGTATGCTACGAAGACAAACATGGTCAAACACATGAAGCCTTCCCATATCTTCTAACCCTGACTGTCATGTTTTACAGTCATACTGTAGAACAGAGCGGACTGCAAAACAGTACACTCAACCATTAAAATAGATAATCGGATATCACGACGGAGCCATAGATGGTGTGAATTGGCAAAAGCTAACCATGTCCCTTCTATTCGTTAGTCACTGATCAACATACCAGGACTGATCGAACTTCCCAGGTAACTGAAGTGCCCAACGCACTAAACCACTACACTCTATATTGTTAGCCACGGCACTGTTAAAGATCAGTCCTCTGGCATCAATTCCCATTTGAATAGTGAGAAACGCATCCAAAACATTCTCAATTTCCCACTCAAGGTGTTCAGAAGACTCTGCATATTGTCAGCGTCCTCCCCTAACAGGAATATGTCGTCTGAGTATTCCAGATCTACCAAACATTCCCCTGTGATCACGCCAATTTATGTGCAGTCAGATATCCAGAGGGAGACCTCCATAACAACGTCTATGACAAAGTTCAATAAGAATAAGGAGGGTAGACATACTTGATGGACACCACTCGACATACACAGCTCACCCAACATCTCACCATACGCCCTAACACCCCCACATATGTTCAAGTAAAGAACCTTCAATTACGTCATGCATTCACTCGGTACTCCTTTCAGTGACAGACGTTGCCATAAGACCCATCCATCGACGGGGTCGAACGCAGCCTTCAGGTCCTGAAATACAGACATTGTCACGCGTCGGTGAGCATGCCTGTATTCCAGAACCTGGTCCAGTGTCAATATTTGGTCAATACACTCACAGCTAGGTCTGAAGCCTGCCTATTTCTCTCAGGGTTGCTGTTTCCGAGCCCGACCCAGGCATCTAACCATAACAGAACCTAGAATCTTAGAGACTATGTTTGTCAGGCTGATTCCTCTGTGGTTATCACAGGAGGACTTCTTGCCATTTTTCAAGACTGGGATAATCAATAACTGAAACCGGTCATGGGGATCATATTCAACTCCCAAAAAATAGTTAACACTTCAGTTAACTTGACTGAAATCACTCTACCACCAGCCTTATGTACCTCAGGAACTAGTCTGTCTCGAAGTCTTCTGCTCATCGTTCCAGTCATCTCCACTGCGATAGAATTATAGACCCATCCTTCTCCGCAAGTCTCACTAACCGTTGACTTTTTTGACCCAGTTTCCTTAATACGTCTAAATAATTGTATTCTGTTACCTATCGCCGCTTGTTTTTCCATCTTTTTAGCCTTCGATGACCAACACTGTTGACGGTCATTTTATAAACGTTTTCGTCAGTCTACATTTGAGTTGCCTTCTATACATAAAAAAAAGCAAAAGAATGAATACACCACTTTCGGATACAGAAGGGAATTGAATAGAAGAGTTTCCAAACCTTCTTTACAATATATTTATAAGCATAAAGTCTGAATTTGATTCAAAAAAGCAACAACTGAACTCATAGTTGATTTTAAAGTATGATTCGAGGAGTATTTTAAACAAAGTTATTCCACAGCTTTAGGAATACTTTACTACTGACTTGTCTTTTTCATAAGATGCGTGTTATACTTTTATAAGCTTGTCTCACTAATCTATGTGCAAATCCCCTGTGAAATATAATGAGTTCACATTCAACCGAAGAAAGGTACATCACGGTATTAGTCTACAGGCATAGTTCGTACAACTTATGTTGAAGGAAGGATTTGAATATTTTACAAGTATTTACTGATGTAGTGAACTCTGTTGTGAGATAGAAAGAAAGCTGTGTACAACAGTATGAAGAAGACTAAAGGAAACGCATAGTGAGATATTGTTGTTACGCAGTTGTTAATGGAACCTCACAGTCTGGTGGAGAGATAGGAAGCCATATAGAGATTTAGAAGTATAAAGTTTGAAACATTTGAAGATCTGTCACCATCAGTACTAACAAACCTTCTATTCTGACTTGTACGTACATTGGATGAAGAGTTCAGAGAATAGTTGCTGGTAACCTAGTTCATCGATAGCGTTCTTGACAACCATCACTCACACCTGGTAAATGTAGCATACCACGCAACTAGCTAAACTAATCAGGTAGTTGAATAGATCAAAAGTGGTGCAGATGATAAATGAGGACCGATGCATGAATCCGACCGAAAAAAAGTCGAAGAAATACAACAATTGGTGGTGTTAAACAGGACTAAAGTTGATAAACGTTTTCTCCGTAGAAACAGTAAACTGGCAAAGGAATTCGCCGATGAATCGAAGATTTTAGACGATTAAAGTGAAGGTTGTTGCAGCATGAGACAGACAGACATTAAGTATACTTGGATAACAGAATAGCGGCAATTACGTCAGTAAGAAAAGGTCAATGTATAAGCATTCAATTAAGCAGGTCAGCGATTACAATCATAAGAGAGGCATGTGCATTAAAAATTTTGAGGGATTTTAAATTATTTCATAGAAATGACAGCACATCAAGTAACAAAAGTAACAAGATGAAAGACGAAGACAGAAAGAAAAATAGATCGAAAGTAATAAATAGGTGGAAGGAAGAATAAGAAAACGATAAATTCAGTACGATGAATGAGATGATATCGATACTGAGCCAAACATTGAGTCCTGTTGTCACGAAGACTCCAAACGGGAAGTCTGTAAATTCCCGATACGATACGACGCAGACAAACAGTCGAAGATTTCATGTAGGGATGCATGGCCAAAATTGTATGATGAGGTGGCAAACCATACGTAACACGTCCCAGCCAGTCGTCATCTCAGTCGATGAAGGTTCATAACCGCATCAACTGATTGATCTCTCCTCCCTAAAACTCTACACCCAACTTCTGCATTATAGATATGGCGACACCAAGACTTATGTTCTATGCTATTAAGCTAAGGGTTATCAAGTACCTGAAGTCTTCACATACCATCTACCTTTGATGGTCATGTTTTACAGTCACAAAGTAGGACTGTAGAACGGTACACTCAACCATTAATAGACAATCGGATATCGTGGCCACAGATGGCGTAGGTTAGCAAAAGCCGACCGAGCCTTTTCTATTCGTGCAGAGACTTTGTCGGTCACCGACCACCACACCACGGATTACGCAACTTCCAAGTAAATGAAGTGGTCAACGAGCCTAACCATCCTTTATTTCTAAACAGGACACTAATGAAGACAAGTCCTGGAGATACAATGTGCATTTAGGTGGCGAGAAACGTATCTTTAACCTTCTCAAATTGCCACTCGAGGTGTTTAAAAGACTCTGAATCTTGACAATACATTAAGGTTCATGCACGCAGAAAAAGCGCAGGCTATCTTAAGACGAATCGATGTCGAGCTACCAATAAACAAGAAGTTGCAAGCAGTGAATAACTGTGGCCAACGTTGGCATGAAAAGTAAAGATCGAAGAATGAAAACAAATATTCAAGGAAATTTTAAGGATTCGACTCGTTACGAAACGAAATTCCAAAACTGAGGACTTCATAGCCAGTCTCTTAGAAACTTCAATGAGGACTCAACACTTCCATATATAAACGGTTAAGTAATGTCAGGTATACATGAACGGATGCCGATACAAGGAACATTTGGTTGAAGTAAGTAAGATACAGTCAACAGTTGTCATGGATACCAGTGATTAAATCACAGGTATCAATTAAGAAAAAGAGGTAGAGTTGTGATGCACGCTAATCATATCCTGACACCTCTAGTACATTTCTGAATTCACCTTGATCAAAGAAAAGGCTGAGTAGATACGGAAGGCAATCTATCCTTTATAACTAATTCGTGAAGAACGTCTTCTATGAAATGGAAATGACAGAAAAATATCCCTTCATATAATTTTATACCAAGGTGGGTATGAAAATTCGCTTCTCAATTTTTAAGATCCATGCAAGTAAGGGCCTCGGAACATATTCCAAAGTGGCTTCAGAAGCAAATCAAATCACCTGAACCTATGAATGTTGGTAGCAAACGTCCAAGCTCTTCGATCGCTAAATATATCGTTGAGACAGGTCACAAGATTGATGTGGCTACTTCCTTTACACCTATCTACAAAACATGTTGGGGAGGGATCCTGAAATTTGTTGAAGCCTTAGCTATTAGGAAGTTTAAACCACCTTTATGTATTCATAAACAATTTGTTGTCACATTAAACCTTCCTTGGTAAATTCAACTATTGAAAAACCAAGTTCGATGTACTATTATTTTTTCGCCCTATTGATTTTCATTGTTATTCGGCCTTTAAGTCAGCCTTCCTACCTGACCCTTTTTTTTCCCCTTATCTTCATGAGTTTTTATATAAATACCTATGACAAGTACGTGTGTGATCAGATAGTTCGAAATGTGTTGCGCAAATACATTACACGGTTCAGACAATTTACGTCTTCTTATTGTTTTGTCGATGATTAAAGTCATGAAAACTACTCCAATTCTATGTCATATCCAGAAGCACCTATAAATTCATGAAACACTTTCGTGATATGTTGGATAAACAATGTACATCCCAAAACAAAGTATTGTAACCTTGTTGAAGTAAACTTAAGAAATTCAGGGTTATCAGTCTGAATTATGTACTGGATATCAATAACAAGTTAGATAAACAAATGTCATTGTCGTCAAGATTCAGCCATCAAGCATAACACAGTGCATTTAAAACACATCCAGATAACATAGTAAAGCATATAAAAGAAGTTAAAATAATATAAAACATTTATTTTGAAAGTAAACTGTATTATATCTCGAGTACTTTACAAAGTTGAATATACACTGATATTAATAATTACAAGAAATGTTCTAGAAGATAAAAAAAATCATAGACCAAGTCGGCTGCCAGGACGTTTAGAAATCAAAGGAGTACCAGGAGTTCGCATACCAGGTGTTACTATCGGTCGTCTGTAATAGAAGAAAATGATTTTAAAAAAATATATATTACCTTTAGTTTTCATTGAAAACTTAACATCCATAACATAGTAGCAATATAGAAGAGTAACACACAAAACTATATAATATTTGATATCAAATTGAAAAATGGTAATTTATTTATCAAAACAACTATCACTACAGAATACCACACCGCAAAGTGGTCACTGGAGGAAAAACCACCATCAAAACTAACAGGAGTACAGAAACCAGATACACAATAGATGACTCTAAGGAATCAAAAGTCCAATGGATCTACAACTTTTATGCTCAACAATCAGTGAGGATACAATTACTGACTGGAATGTAAGTAAACTCAACTGATAAGTTCAAAACAGGACGAAATCCGACTCCTACATTCTATAGCTTAGCTACCAACAAGCATTATAAAGTGAAGTGATAAAATACTAAGCAGACTACAGTGTTAAACATTACTAGACTGGATCATGTAACAAACTGTGTGAAGCGAAACGATGGCCATACGCTGGTTGTCGGATGAAAAGATTCTAGAAGATTTGGATTTCGCCAACCATGGTGATTAATGTCTAGTGTGTTATGTCGCACAAACATGAAGATATACAGGCAAAAACCAACAAGTTAGCAGAAGAAGTGAGGTGAGACAGAGAAGATGGTAGTTGAGGTGATCGTAAAGAAGACAGATGTAATGAAGATACCCAACCAACAACTACAACAACAACAAGAAGCACCAATCACCATGAACGAGAGAAACGCAAAGCAAGTTGTCTCTTTCACCTGCCTAAGCAGCATCGTCTCAACTACAGACGGTAGAGATAAGGATATCAAAGGCAGGATCAGAAAGACAGCAAGACAGATCTTCCTTCACTAATCTAAAATCAGTGTGGAAATCTACTGCACTCCACTCCACTCCACTGCACTGCACTCAGCATAAAGCCTGAACAACATCCGGATTTTAAACACTAGGTCAGTCAAGTCAGCGATTCTATGTGACGGTTCAGACACTTAGCGCGTCACGAAAAGCATTTCCAACAAACTACAGACATACATGAACAACAGCTGCCGCCTACGCCCACTCGATACTGAAGATCAGATGGTCACAATAATAAGAATAAGGAACAAAGTACTCTGGTCTGGCAGTGAACCAACCAAGAACCCATCGGCCAACAAATATGCAGAAGAAAAAAAAAGGAGATAGATTGGGTATACACTGAGAAGACCGATTGCGGACATCACGCGTCAGGCCAGGGCAGGCCAGTCCGTCGAGTGGAACCCGAATGGGAAACGAGTTGCGCAGCCAATCTTAACATGGAGGAGATGGTGTGAGGAAGAAATGAAAGCTTCTGGGCAGTAGTGGAGCCACGTTCAAAAGACGGCAGAGAACAGAGTGGAATGGAGATGTGCTACTGAAGCCCTATGTTCCACTAGGAACCCAAAGGACGAATAGTAGTAAGAATAATAATAATACACTGACACCCATCAAGGTGTACAAAGATATTGGACCTTTTAGCACGTTGATCACACTGCAAAAATTATCGACAGAATTTGGTCAGCGCTAAGAAGTAGACTACATAAAATTTGGTTGCTTTCCAGTTACCCAGTCCTACAAGAGTTTAGTCATGACTCGAATAGCTGAGTGGTAACGCCGTTGACTCCAACACTCAGTGATACGGGTGTCGAATCTTAGGAGGAACATCGGTTCACTCACGGTTGGAAATATACGTTGGTGACCATTGCCAACAAGCATGAAGTAAGTCTAGGCGAACCATGGTTTCCTGCGGATTGCCTATTCAACCAACTAACATCGATGTAAATGTATCACAGTGATGAGCCAACCTCCTAGCTTGGTGGCCAAAATGGAAAATGATCAATAAAATTTGATCAGCAATCACAACCAGACACAAAATTGATTGAACTCCAGAGACCAATCAACGTATATCATTAATATAATGACAGGTAAATAATATACCTAGTTATCATTATGAAACATCTGAGTGTATTTTATTTCAATAAGACAGGTTTATTATTCCTGTAGCGAATAATCTTCCAAAAATCTCCAAGATGCCTAACTATACATGTACATAGTTCTCAGAAACTTCCAAAATAAGAAATCAAAACCAAACCATTGGAGAATGATTCTTTCTATAATCAGTATGAATAAATCATTTAATTTACGATCGTTATACTTCCAACAGACAAGGGATGCACTACAGTAGTCATGAACATAGAAGACTACATCAAGAAAGCCGAAGAATTACTTAAAGACGAAAATGTATATCAACTGCTTGAAACCAACCCTATCCAAAAGTTTAGCAACCAAATAAATAAAACCTTGAACAAACTATTGAAAGCAGAAGAAACAACAAAACACGAGACAAATGGAGAATGAAATTGAATGAACCTGTCCTTCCTCGGTTCTACGGTAGACCAAAAATATACAAACCAGACATCCTTCTACGAACAATTATCTCATTTCCAGAATCTACAACATACAACATATCAAGAGAACTTCCGAGAAAACTGAAACACCTCGTTCAATCATCCAGACATTCCATTAAATCACCAACAGAATTCGTAGAAAAAGTAAAAAGCATTAACATAGAAAACGATGAATTAATGGAATCCTTCGATGACACAGCACTATACACATCCATCGAACACCAAATTAGCCAAGGAAAGTATGTCCCTTCTGCTCAATGAAGACACAAGCCTTACAGAAAGCACAAAACTCAAATGTTCAAGTCTGATAGAACTCATCGACCTTTATCTGACAACATATTTCCAATTCAACGGCATGATATACAAACAGATGAAAGGAACTCCAATGGGATCACCGATATCCGGATTAATTGCAGAAGCAGTGATGCAGAGACTAGCAATCATTGTTCTACCTGTGATTAAACCAAAAATTTGGATTCGTTATGTGGACGACACTTTTGTCATCATTAAAAAAGATGATATAGAGAACACCCACAGTTTGATTAACAAAGTTTTTAATGACATCAAATTCATAATGGAGAAAGAGTCAAGCAACCAACTATCATTCCTGAATGTTCTGGTGAATAGAACAAATACGGTGAAGCTGGAAACTCGAGTGTACAGGATGCCAACACACACTGACCAAATCCTCAACTACAATAGCAACAACCCAACAACACACAAAATCAATTGCATGCAGACTCTATTCAAAAGAGCGAGAACGCATTGCAGTATAACAACTTCAAGGAGAAACGAAGAAAATTACTTAATATCCATCCTAAAGAAGAACGGCTACCCACGCAACTTTATCAGAAGATACCTATCCCATGCATCATCAACTACAAAGTCATCGACAGAAATCAACAGATGCATCGTCCTATCATACATAAAGGATATATCAGAAATCACAAGATTACTGAGACCACTTGGAATTGATGTGGTTCATAGACCAACAAATTCCGTCCATACGTTATGTGAAGCAAATGATTCAACAACTAAAGAAGATAAACCGATTGTCATTTACAAATCAACTGCAATAACTGTAGTCAACACCACATTGGACGAAGTGATCGCCCACCTTCGCCTTCGTCCACATGAACACCGATTGGCTGTTAAATGTCACATACGACATTTCATCACTCACTTCAAAGCAACCTGGATAACAACTATGGACATGAATTCAATTTCGACAATGTAGAAATTTTGGACGGAGAGAGGAAACACAAAACATATCAGAGAATTCCTGGAAGCTTGGCATTCAGATCAGTCAGTCAGTCAACAATCAATGGGTGTATAGGCATAGACCCAATCTATCAACCAATAAGAAAGATGATAAACGACAGAAAGGTTAGATGTGAAGCAGAAGAACAGCCAATAGGAAAATCTACACAGTCAATGATACAACAATCAAAGGAAACAACCAATCACAAACCAGTTGGTCAGGGCAAGGTATTAAGTCACTTACGGAGAGATATTGACAGCTCACTTGATACTGAAGTTAGTGCTGATGATGTCGTCTAGAAAGACGATGAAAGCTTCACGATTAAACAACCCAGCTCAGAGAAAATAATACAACCAAGACCATCCACCTGAGCTACAAATATTCTCCACTACTTCAAAATTGGTTTATACTGATGAGTTTCAATAATTACAACTTTAGTTCTTGTTAAAACTGAAGGATTCATAGAGTTATCTCAAAAGGTTACTCTAGTAACCATATAACTAACACCAATTAGATCTCACTGTTTCACTTAGGAAGGTAGTTTTATCATAAAATAATGAAATCTGATTGGTTAGTTCAGTAGTTGTTAGGGTGGCCGCGTTAACAGATACTCATTAAATTCAATTCATACACTTGAATTGGCATAATAAATTGAACGTGACAGGTTCATTCTTACTTTTATAGGTAGGTCAAAACAGCCAAGCATCAGATATAATGGTATACACAATGTTATGGAGAGAAATATTGTATTATTGCATAAGTAAAATCCACTAGAGTAAAACTGTCTTCAGTATACAAGTATGGTCAGAATAACCATTGCTATAATTCTGACTGTAATGTGTTCAGCTAGCTGAGAGTAACAGAAATGAAGCCTAGTGAACAGCATAGCAGAGTAGGTGGCTAACATTGATACTTTGGTTGATGATTTGATATGGTTGATTCAGGGTGATCGGAAGGCACCTATTTACTGCCCAAATGAATATAAAATAACTGAACTACTGCTAATATAATCTAATGTATGTTTACTGAAGATATGCACATGATAAAACAATTTAAGACAGTTAAGGATAGTGTACATAAGCTGATACACACAAGGTATGAATGATAGACAATTTACTTACAAACGAATTGAGCCAATTGATGCAGATAGTTCTTCACGTCGACGAGATAATTGTTCTTCAGCTGTACGCATTTCTTTTTCCATTTCTATAAGTTGTTCTTCAGCTTGACGCTTTCTTTCAAGTCGAGTAAGGTTAGGATCTTTTACACTAAAAGAAAAAAAACACATGAAAAGAGATAAATAATAGGGTACGAAATATACCATGTGTTTAACGTACTACAGCCAAATATTAGGAAAACATGATGATTGAAACTGAAGAGTAGGCTATGAAATAGCATATTTAAGGAACCACTTCTAAACTGGTGTAAGACGCTTCAAGTTTTACCCAACTACAAAGAATTATGTTCTATTGTAGGGCATACAAAATACAAGTCAATGAACTTATATAATACATCGATTGGTCACGGAATAGTAATCAATTTTATGTTGTTTAGTTTCGAGTGCCACCAAGTTAGGAGGTTCAGGACTGCAGTACACTTGGATAGATGTGACTGACACCGGCTGACAAACGCAGAACCTCACACACACACACACACACACACACACAACTGCATCGGTTCAAGTCGCCATACTCCGTAGTAGTAGACAAAAAAAACAGATGGATAAAAAAAGACTGATATCAAAGTAAACAGAGTTGTATGAGAGAATAAACAATTTGAAGATAAAGGTTAGTATGAATATTCAAGGTCTAGAAGATGTCAAGGAGTGAATACATTTGCACCACTGTGACCGACTTTCAGACATGGTACCGAGAGTCCTCAACCAATGATTCATTTTGTCTGAGTAAACCCAAACAGGCAATCAGTCGATATCTCCCAACACGGCTCACTTCAACAGTAAACGATTTCACAGTCTTCTGCTAAGTTTTGGTCTCACCACCCAGAACTCTCGCTCTTCCAACCTTATCCAACATCCTCAAGGGTTGCACATTGAGGTGGGCGGTGGCTCAGCATGCGCAGTACATACACAAGCCATCTTAGTCGACAAAGCTTCATAACTTCATCTTTCCTAGTACTCTTTATCTCACACAGTGATTCTACCAAACGCTAGCCATGCTATGAACCACATACTATGTCAGTCACAGAACAAAGAAATCTGCTGACTATCTAAACAGAAGATAGATACGACAGTGAAAAAGTAAGAACTGACAGCAGTCACTGTCTGACTCTGAGGTTCAGACTCGTGTCTCAGAGGGGAGATCACTTCCCTTAAGGCTGCATATACATTATGCTGATAAGTTCCACCAAGCACGAAAGCCAAGTCAAGGGCTTTCTGTCAGTTATCTCTAGCCAAATAGCTTAAACAGTGTCATGAGAAAAGCCTTAAGACTTCGAACAAATTCACTGTGTCACTACATACAAACAATCAAATTGACTAAAATTGCTGTATAAATGTGGGTGAGTATAAATAGATATCCAAAGTAATAAGATCAAAGTAAACATTACCTGTAGAACATTGGACCAACTTTAGCTAGCCAATTACCATCCACAGATGTAACACATTGCATATACTCTTTGGTTGTCATCACTAATTCATGATAAATCACATAGTCTGGAGTATAACCCATTCCATAAAGAGCACTAGTTGGATGAAGATGACAAGGCATACCAGTGCGTAGATTCACATATTCACCTAAACCCTAAATTAATAAAAACAAAACAACAGTTAGTTAACGATGTTATTAAATTTGAGGTCATACTATTATCATTAACTGACACAAATAAGGAATATCGATTACTGGATATCGACCAAATGGCTTAATCGTAACGCCCTAGACGCGGATTTTATAGGTCCAAGGTTCGATGTCTGATGGATGGACTCATTGATGAGCACTTCTCAGAAGCCCCATTCAAGGATGAAACAACTGTCCATCACCACTCCAAGGTTTAAGATGTTTCTTTAACTGATATCATTTCATGATGAATATCAACTTGGAATTAACAAAATAAAACTCCTTGGACTTAAGAAATAACAGAATCTTTGTAAGCGATCTGAGTCTTCGTTATATATGTTGTTTATAACATATATAACGAAGACTCAGATCGCTTACAAAGATTCTGTTATTTCTTAAGTCCAAGGAGATGGTTGGGACACGTACTACGTATGCCTAGTCACCGATCGCCTCGTCACACAATGTTGGCTGAGGTGGGTCCAGGCTGGAAAAAGGCCCGAGGTGGCCACACTCAAACATGGCACCAATGTATGAAGTCTCTGACTGTTGGTTTGAGCCATGTAGGACGATGCAGACTAGGTGGTTGGGGTCGGCGAGACAAGAGGAACCAGTGGTTGGAGACCCTAGGTGATATGGCTCAGAACCGAAGTCAGTGGCGCAGATGTATACACACATTATCCTTATCCTAACAACGCTATACCGAATCTCACTATTTTGTCACTCCTCTTTCCTTTCTTCTCCTACTTTATATTTCTTTTGACTGCATTCACTTATCTTCATCCTTCACCTCACTACCTTTTTACTTGATGTGCTGATATGAGGTGTGGCGACTCGGACCGTTACGCAGTAATGCCTGGTCCTATGTTGATAATGATGATGATGATATATATGTTGTTTAAATGATATACAACTTTTGAATAAATGTTTCAATGATTTTTGAAGTAGTCTTCTCTCATATCTCTTCAGTATGTATTCAAATTATTCCAAAGAACTCTATTTGTCAACATTATTATTATTGTTATTATCAACACAGGAGTAAACATTACTTGCATAAATAACACTTTGCATTAGTCAATCCAATCTTTATATATGTGGTTAAATAAGGCTAGTTAAAACAATTTAATGTCTATTGTATTGAGTGTGAAGATTTTCAGGTTTCTTTGAAGGATGAAAATGAGATTCAATTACAACAACGTTTTGCACACATCTATCCATCAGGCAATATATCATACCAATTATGTGGTAAAAGCTAAGTCAGTGGAGCGGTGGTTGAATCCATGACCTTGTGGTTGTAAGTCAACTCCTTAAAGTAATGAGCCACAATTGCACAATGTTCTAGACAACAATACTGCATAATGTAACAGGATGTAGGATACAATGATCATTTATAGGATTAATTATTATGGAGTTTTTGACTTATCTACACTGACCTTTACTGAGTTAAACTGGAAAGTGTTGACCCAATAAGAATATCGAAATCTTTGAAAAACAAGGAAAAACTCTTTGATGATAAAGGAATTGAATAGTTCTCTGAGTTACTCCGTTAAACTTGCTTCAATGAAGAATAAGATTCATATTTACAAAAGGATATATTGAATATTACAAATACCCTTCGCCGTAACATTCACGAACACTGAAATGTCATAAAATCGACTAAAAACGGTTCACTCATCTGACAAAGGATCAATATCAACGAACTTAAAGAAATGAAGCACAAAAGCCAATCCTGATAAACGTGTCAGTATAGTACTGATAAACAGAAGAGACCAGTTATATTGAATGGTAATTGAAGGTGAGATGAGAATTCGGATCACCATCGGATTCGAACTAGCGGCCCCTGGACTGGGCAGTCATTATGGTTACAATGAACTTACAGTTACGCTATCATGGATTCACATGGTGAATGGGCAAAATCTTTGCTGATTGAAGTGAAATTAAGATTTAACCAACAACAGGATCTCGTAGCTCAGTTGGTGGAGTATCAGGTCAATAACTCGGAGGTCAGATGTTCGAACAGTGACAAGACCCAGAGCTGCCAAAGCTGCTAGGGTGTGAACCAATGAAATTTAAGGTTAAAATGCAACAGAAAGCAACTCCCTCTCTCTCTCTCACACACACACATAACAAAGCCGAGCCTAAGGTTATCAAAATACTATCCAAACATTCATGGAACCTTAAAGAGGACTGAAGTGGGTGTTGATGACACCATCAAGCCTGATGATGCTAAGTTCATGAAAAAATGAAAAATCTCAGAAAGCAGTTAATCAATGCAAGGATAAAAGTTCTTCCCAAGTGGTAAGGTTAGCATGAAATGTGAAATAACCATCAACCACTGATTCACTAGATCGAGCACCGCTCTACTTACCAAGATCTGAGCAGTCAGGTAGTATGATCTGCTAGCCCTCATACAACAAGTGTGACTCATTGTCTGCTACATGAATGTGCACAAAGTGGTTGAGTGCATTTTATTTGCTGTAGTATAAAAATTCTTTGAAACAACTTTAATATTTTCAATGTTGATATTCATCATGGAACCTCGCCTAGTTTACTAGTTACTAGCCTGTAGTAAGCCCGGATAAAAAGGGAAGGTTGGACATAAGGCTAGCAACCCTACCCCGTAAAACCAATCCAATCGCTAAAGAAACTTCAAAGCAGAAAAAAATGTGGAAAATAAAAATAAAATTATTCCACGCTGGAATTGGGGAGAAGAAATGACGCCGGTTGGTGAAAGCCTTCAGGAAGCCAATTGGCCTATGTGTCCTCTCTCTCTCTCTCTCTCTCAATGATCACAAAACTAAACATAGGGATATGGAATGTCTGAACAACGTTTGGAGCTGGCTGGCAAGGCAGTCTAAATTGCAAAAGAGACGAGAAGGTATCGCATTGAAGTGCTAGGAATCTGTAAAAGCAGATGGGATGGAAGTGAACTCACCAAAAACTGTTAACTGAAGAGGAGCCAATAATCTACTCCGGTCACCCAGACGACAACCACAAACACACTGTGTTTCGGAGTGGCTATTATGATGTCCCCAAGAGCTTCAAAGGATCTCAGGCAATGGGAACCAATCTCCTTCAGGACCATGATACCAAGATTCAAATCAAAAGGAAAGGAAGTTACAATTATACAAAGCTACGGCCAGAAAGAATAAGCAATAAGAAACTCTGGCTGGCAGGCAACGAACCAAACAAGAACCTATCGCCCAGAAAATATGCACAAGAAGAAAGTGGAGATGGATTCGATTGGGCATACACTGAAAAAATCAATTGGGGACAACATGCATCAGGGCAGGCGTGGCCGTCGAGTGGGCCTTCAATGGTGACATGGAGATCATGTGAAGATAAAATGAAAGGTCATGAACAGTTGTGGAGTCAGGTTGGAGAGACTAAAGAGAAGAGAGTGAAATTCAGACGTGCTACTGACGCGCTATGTCCCACTAGGAACCCAAAGGACAAATAATAATAATATTAAATTGATCATGGCCTGATACCTGGCGGGTTCATGGGCAAGCACTGCTGAGGAATCCCATACTAGGATGAAATAGTTGTTCAGTGCTCTTAAGTTCCCAATATTCCTCCAACTAATATCAGTCCACGATGAATACAAAACTGGAAAGCCACTAAATTAAATACTATCAAAAAAAAAAAGAGAAGCTAACCTTGATGCGTGCAGCTTGATGGAAAAATGTTGCACATAAACACTCACGTACAACATCCCAATCACTGCCAATCGACTCTAAATTCATATTATGCTGTTCCATTATCTCTTTCATTTGTTGGCGTACTTCACGAACTTTACGCATAGCTTTTAAATGTAAAAAGTGTTTAGCACAAAATACTGATGAATAACTTGATTTACGCCATTGAGTAAAAACATTCAATAATGTTAAATGATCTGATTCAGGTACTTGAAATTTTTCTCTAGCATTATCTGACTCTTCTTCACGACCTTTTGGTCTATAGAATACACTTGGTACAGATAACATTGATACAATAGTTAATATCTCCTCTGAACAATTCATATCACATGATATAATTAATAGTTTAGATAAAGCTGGATCTAATGGAAATTCAACCATTTGACGACCTAAATTTGTTAGACTACCAGTATTATCAAGTGCACCAAAAATCCAAAGTTGATACATAGAGTTTAGCATATTGTCCTATAAAGCGAAAACAGACAAACAAAAATAGTAATATATTATTGAGATGAATGGGGATTTTTTTTTAAATTAGAACTAGCATTCATCATGAACTGACATCAGTTAGGGGAATCATTGGACAGCTGTTTCGTCTCAGTATGAGACTCTTCAGCAGTACGCACCCACGACCCGGTTAGGGGTGGAACTCAGGACCTTCAAGTTTCACTGCGAACGCGTTAACCATTCAGCCAATGGGTCGGTTTTCAGTAATTCACAGTTTCCAACTTCTGTCAATTCAAGATATAGCTCGACTATCACTCAAGGTCTTCAATTAGCATCTACTTCATATCCGACTGGTTGATCCCATAGGTCACGACTTCTTGTTAGAGCTTCCTGATATCCATCTGGAAGCAAGTCACTAATGAACACCTAGATTTTCAATGGTTTCCCAACTGATGTCAATCCATGAGGAATACTAAATCTAAAAATAATAATGATTTATCGTTTCAATTTTATTATTATTCATACACGAAACCCATGTTAGCTAATTTCAAGTTTTTATTCAATAATATATAAACCTTTGCGTCATACTATAAGCACTGCAAAAGAAACTAAATGGAATAGACAAGTATACAAATAACAATCAATATTTGAAGTTTAACATAGTCTACTGTTATGTATCCTTAATTTACTCTAACTTTCGCGTTATCTAGGCATCGTTGCTAGTTTTCGTTTTTCCCACTACGTTTGAACTCTCATTGGTTGTTTACTCTTTTAACTGATCAGTGGATTTAGTAGTTGTCAAGGTCATCGCTTTCAACTGTTTCGATACTGCAAGACATTAAGCAACGCCCTGCTTGGAAGAACACTGGAACTCTTTGAAAGAGACGTGGAAAGAAACCTGCATCACCGTATTAGCAAGGAAGAAAAGACAAGACAAGGAACGGATCTCCATGGACACATGGAAGTTGGTAGAGCAGGGAGAGGAAGATGGTGAAGCAGAGGATGAACCAGTGCATTGCAGGAATGAACAACGAGAACAGGAACTGGACACAACCTAAAAAACACTAGACAAAGAAGTTAAGAAGAGGGTGCTCAAAGACAAAAGACACTTCTACGACAAACTTGCAACCGAAGTAGAAAAGGCTGTGGGTGGGAAAGAAACAGACCGGATAAAGTTATATAAAATGATCAGATTACTATCTGGGAGGGATGAGGCCGACACAAATGAAACCAATAAAAATTGGCGAAGGAATTTTAGCTACCAAAGCGGAGAAACAAAGGAAATGATGGGTTAACCACCTCAAAATACTCTTGAATCGACCACCATCACCACATGTAACTCGTCCAGAAATACTACCAGCAGCCCAGCCACAGAACTATCAGTGAACACGAACTCTCCAACAAAAGCAGTTCTGGACCCCATAAAGCTGCTGAGAGCCAGGAAGGCAGCAGGACCAGAAGGAATTACTCCAAAAGCACTGAAAATAGACACAGAGATAACAGCAGACATCCTCACACCACTGTTGCAGAAGGTTTGAAGGAAGGAATGAAAGGTACATGCCGATGGGACCAATAGCCACCTTCTCAAACTCTCATAGAAGGGTGAACTGGTGAGGAATCATCTTCCACTCCTGTCCACCCCAAACAAAATATTAGGCCGCATCATCCGGGAGAGACTGAGGAATGCTCTCCATTCAAAACTACGACCACAGCAGTCTCGCTGGCTTCAGGAAGAACAAACCATGTGCGAATCAAATTGAGACAGTATGCATTATCACAGAACACAGCATAGAATGACAGTCAACTATCTACCTCAATTTCATCGACTTTGAAAAGGCATTCGACAGCGGCGACAGAGAAGTAATTTGGAAACTGCTGCTTCAACACTATGGATTTAGTATCACAAACCTTTATCAACCTCATTCAGAAGCTGCATGATGATGATACATGCCAAGTGATTTACAACACAATGGAAAGCTGAGTGATGCCTTTGAAGTGAAGAAAGGTTGACAGGTAAGACAAGGTTATCTACTATCATCACCGATGATCTTCCTGATTGTGAGGGACTTAACTGGACTATGCAGCAAACTGTGGGGAGCTGTGAGAAGATGAGAATACGCTGCCTGGCCGATGAAAAGACCCTAGAAGATTTGGATTTCGTCAACCATGATGATTTATGTCTAGTGTGTTATGTCGCACAAATTCGAAGATGTACACGCGAAAATCAACAAGTTGGCAGAAGAGGTGAGACGAAGTAGAGAAGACACGAGTTGAGGTGATTGTAGAGAAAGCAGAAGTGATAAAGATACCCAACCAACAACTACAACAAGCACCAATCACTATGAACGAGAGAAATGTTAATTAAGTTGTCTCTTCCACCTACCTAGTCAAAATTGTCTCAACTACAGATGTAGACAGCACGGATGAGGATGTGAAAGCCAGAATCGGAAAGACAGCAAGACAGACCTTCCTTCACTAATCTGAAATCAGTATGGAAATCTACTGCACTCCACTCCACTGAACTGCACTGCACTCAGCATAAATCCTGAACAACATCCGGATTTTAAACACTAAATCAGTCAAGTCAGTGCTTCTATGTGGCGGTTCAGACACTTAGCGCATCACGAAAAGCATTTCCAACAAACTACAGACATACATCGACAGCTGACGCCTACACCGATTCGATACTGAAGATCTGGCCTGCCAATAAACCACAAAACCAACCAAGAACCTATCATCCAACAAATATCCAGAAGAAAGTGAAGATGCATCCGATTGGACATACACTGTAAAGACGGTTTGGGGACATCACGCGTCAGGCCAGTCCATCGAGTAGAACCCGAATGGGAAATGACGAGTTGGGCGTGCCGGGATGACATGGAGCAGATCGTATGAGAAAGAAATGAAAGGTTATGGGCAGTCATGGAGTCAGGCTAGAGAGACTGAAGAGAAGAGAGTGAAATGATGACGTGCTACTGAAGCCGTATGTTCCACTAGGAACCCAAAGGATAAATTATTATTATCATTATTATTATTATTATTATTATTATTATTATTATTATAGGAAGTTATGAAAATTCTCCGTTGAATTAATTTGCATTCTAACGGTAGAAGATTCTTATTCATAGAAAAAGTTTTATACGACAATATACTTTTTAAGTGAAATCAGTTAAATATTTAACATTGGGGAAGACTATTTACTGAAAACAAAAAAAATTATTTCAAGTTGTTATTCATCGAAGACTGACATCAGTTGGAGGAACAAAGGAAACCTGGGAGAAGTTGGAAATATGGAGCATTGGATTCTGACCCAGTGGCTCAATGGTAACGCGCTGGCCGCGGAACCTGGCGGTAGCGGGTCCGGTCCCTGCTGGTGGGGTCGTGGGTGCGCACTGCTGAGGAGTCCCATACTAGTCGGACGAAACAGCTGTCCAGTGCTCTCAGGTTTCCTTTCTTCCTCTAACTGATGTCAGTCTTCGATGAATAACAACTTGAAATATTTCCAAATCTCCACAACCCCCTCAAAATTTAAAAAAATTTATATTACCTGTGGAGGAGCATCCATAAAATGAAATCGCATTAAATCTTGTACACCTAAAGATTTTAATAAGAGAACAACATTGGCTAGATTTGTCCGTTGAATCTCTGGAATGGAAGTGATCAACATTTCTTCTTGATATTGACTAATTGTGTAGAGTCGATAACATACTCTAAAAAAAATTTGAAGACAATGGAAAACATATAAACTTTGTATTAATATACATTGAATAATAAATTAAATCAAAATGATATTTACAGATTACAGTGTTATCTTAGTTGTTAAGTCAGTTGAGTGGAACATCACTTTAAACCATCGAATTGAATTCACTAAGAAGGTACTAAAACATTTTATTGTTTGGAATACAATTTTACACTTTCACAAGAGAATAAACAATCTGAATGTAAAAGGTTAGTGTTACCAAGAGTCTTGAATCACTGATTCTTATAATCTCAAAAACTCCAACTACTAGGCAGCTTATATCGCCTTACACGACTCAGATCAACAGTTGAAGATAACATTGACTGGTAATCACGTTTTCATCTTCCCACCCTGAACCCTCTTCTGATCTAATGCAAATTTCACTAACATGATACATTGAGGTAGGTGGTGGATAGGTTATCTGAATCGACTAAAATTCATAACAATTATCAATCAAAACGTCATAATCGCTTCATGTCTTCTACTTTCAAAGGCCATATCTCTTAGCGATAAAACAGGACAGAACAAACTAGAAAGTTCTTGGTCATACAATCATTTACAGCATCGACTATTGCTATATGTAGATGAAATTCAGTGTTTATTTACTGTTATAATTAGTATCCTAACATCATCTTTTCACCTTTTATATACGTCACATTTCTCGGTATTAATTGTTACTTTTGCCTTATTCTAAGAATAGAGAATAAAAACTGACTTAGTAACTATAGATATTTTCATATACTAGATAATAACTATATGGCAGTCAGCTCAATACCTCAACTTCGTCGACTTTGAAAAGGCATTCGACAGCGTCGACCGAGAAGTAATTTGGAAACTGCTACAACACTATGGAATGCCACAAACCTTTATCAACTTCATCCAACTATATGAAGATGCTACATGCCAAGTAATTCACAATGGGAAGCTTAGTGATGCCTTTAAAGTGATCAGCGATCATCTTCCTGATTGTAGTCGACTGGATCATGCAACAAACAGTGAGGAGCGAGAAGAGGGGGATAAGCTGCACCGGGGAAAAGAACCTAGAAGATTTGGATTTCGCCAATGATGACTTGTGTCTAATGTCACAAAAACTTGGAGATCTACAGGCGAAAACTAACAAGTTGACAGAAGAGGCAGGGCAGGGCAGGGGAGGGCAGCGAAGACGGGACTTCAAGTGAACGTAGAGAAGACAGAGGTGATGAAGATACTCAACCAACACTACCACCAACAACAACAAACTCCAATAACCATCAACGAGAGAAACTGAAAGCAAGTAGCCTCTTTCACCTACCTATCTACTTAGGCAGCACCGTTTAAACTACAGGTGGCACAGGCACAGAAGACGACGTCAAAACCTGCCAGCATCGGAAAGACAGCAAGACAGACCTTCATTAATCTGAAACCAGTGTGGAGATCTACTACACTCAGCATAAAGCATGAACAAGATCCGGATTTTCAACACCAACATCAAGTCAGTGCTCCTGTATGGTTCAGAAACTCGGCGCGTTATCAAAGGCATTTCCAACAAACTACAGGCATTCATCAACAACTACCTACGCTGGCTCGTTACTGAAGCTCAGACGGCCAGAAATAATAAGCAACAAGGAACTCTGGCAACGAACCAACCAAGAACCCATCGCTCAACAAATATGCCGAAGGAAGTTCAGATGGATTGGGCATACACTGAGAAGACCGTTTGGGGACATCACACACCACGCCAAGTCATCGAGTTGAACCGAGATGGAAAACGGCGAGTTGGGCGTCCGAGGTGAGGGTGACATGGAGGAGATCATGTGAGGGAGAAATGAGAGCTTGTGGACTGTCGTGGAGCCAGGTTCAAAAGATTTCATAGAACAGAGTGAACTGAAGACGTGCTACTGAAGCCCTATGTTCCATTAGGAACCCAAGGGACAAATAATAATGATAATAATAGGTAGTTACCTGAACACTTATAGTGTGTGTGAGCTAATGATACCTACCAAATCTTGGTACATGAAAATGGGGTTTGAGTACGGAATCCGTCAACTCTTAGACTAATGAGTTACAGGTGTTATAAAGTTATATTTGGCTGGTTATATCATCCACATTCACTCAAAGAGTTTGTCTACAATGATTTGGTATAATTATTTAACGAATGTAACCGTTTATCGACGGTAGTGAGAAGTCTCAGTGACAATCATATTAAGGTATAATGTCTCTAAAGCAAAAGATGAATAAACAGCAGGTGGAAAACCTCGAAATGATCATGAAATAAGCCTATAAAAAAAAATTAATTTCAGGGTAATAAGATAGTAATTTCATAGTGAATTGAAAAACACATACCCTGGCCCAGTTCTACCAGCACGACCAGCTCGTTGATTAGCATTAGCTTGACTGATTGGAAAAATTTGAAGTGCATCCATACCAATTTTAGGATTGAAAACTTTCAGTTTACAATAACCACAATCAATTACATAACGAATACCATCAACTGAAAAAGAAATACATAGACAAAACTATTACTATTATTATTATTTATACTTTAGGTTCCTTAATGGAACATAGGGCTTCAGTAGCACGTCCCCACTTCACTCTCTTCTCTGCAGTCTCCCTAATCCGACTTCACAACTGCCCAGAACCTTTCATTTCTTTCTCACATGATCTCCTCTATGTCATCCCCTGCACGCCTAACTCTTTGTCTCTCATTCGGGTTTCACTGGACGGCCTGGCCTGGCACGTGTGATGTACCCAAACCGTCTCCACAGTTCTATGTCTAATGCATTCCGATGCATCTCCACTTTGTTCTTTTGGATATTTGCTGGACGATAGTTTCTTGGTTGGCTAGTTCATAGTTAGGCCACAGTTCATTGTTGCTTATTCCTTACCTCTATAGTTTTCCTTTCTATGTGTTTTGCTTATCAAATCCTCACTTTTATTTGAAATAAGGTCATAAATGAACAGAGTGCAAAATAAAATTTAGTATACCCTTCTCTTCAACTGTAATGCTTCAATATTTATACACTCGTGTATTATTTGTTTACTTTTTTGTAAAGGATAATATATTTGAGTCATATTAACAGGTAAGCTAATGAACTAAGTAGAAAAACATACCAGTTAATGAGGTTTCAGCAATATTTGTAGCTACAACACACTTTCTAACACCATTTTCAGCTTTCATAAATATCTTTGCTTGAAGATCACTTGGTAACTGAGAATAAATAGGCAGAATTGACAATGGAGGTGCTTCGTCCAAATTACTTAAACGTTCTATGAAAAAAAGTAAAATAAAATAAATTACATCATCGAAAAACCAATATCGTTTATAAAAGATTACCTAATAAACCTCCAGTTTAATTAAGGAGCCTCACTTGAAGAGCATTATCTAAGCTATTATTAACTACTCGACGAAACACGTCGGACATCAGTTCCATAGAGGTTTCACATCAACATTGCTGATGAGTTCAAAAAAGTATGAAACCTGCCAATTGGCTTCATCAAACTAACATCTATCCCAGTGCATGGCAATAGTGAGTTTCCTAGTCTGATGACCACAATACAAAATGATTGATAGAATTCGATCAGCACATAGAAAGTGGAAATACTAGTGGATCAAGTACTAATCGATTCCAAACTCCAGAAGTTCATGCAATCGATGAACAATCTCCAGGACATTCTACTTGGGATGACTCTGGGTTAGGAACAAGTCGGTCTACAACTCCTCGAAGCACTGGGTCACTTGCTCGCAATTCATCAAACGATCGATACACATATACTCCTATGCCAACTCCAACTTTTAAGCATAACTCTTGGATGCAATCAAATAAAGATGGTACACGAGAATTCGACTCGAAAAAGTCTCATTCACACAGGCATACTGAAGACCAGTTCGATTCAAAGCATCGTAATGAAAATGAAAGTGATAATGGGAGATGTGGTTCTGCTGAAGTAGAGGAGGATACAGATGCAATAAAAGCTGAGAATGAGAAACTAGATCGTAACTGGTATCAGATGGATGATGGTTATGATAATGATAACAATCCTTTTGCTGGTAAGTAAGTATTTTAATATGCTTCTTTTGAGGGCAGGGTAGGGTAGGATAGGGTAATATTGATCTTCGACTGATATCAGTTAAAGAAGCATTGAAAACCTGGTAACACTGAACAGTTGTTTCATCCAAATAACGGACTACTCAGCAGTACACAAGCACGACCTCTTCACAGATCGTACTTAAGGTTTCAATGGTCAATCCATTCGCCACCAGACCTGAAGGTTCTGAGTTCCACCTCTGACAGGTTCACGGGTATGTGTACTGCTGAGTCCCATAGCAGGACGATGCAGTTTATCCAGTGATTCTAGGTCCCCAGTAGTTCTCCAACTGATGTCAGTTCGTGATAAATACTACCGTGATATTTATACAACCAGACAACATGAGGTTGGTTAACCTCCAGTGACAAATCAATGTACCTAATCCAGTCCTACAAGAGGTCAGTTTCGGCCCGAGCAGTTCATTGGTAACATTTGTGATTGCAGCATTGTGTGACGCGAGTTTGAACTTCAGGCAGGATATCAGTTCTGTTGAGGTTGCAGATATCGCTTGTTGATGAATGCTAAGAAGTATGAAACCTAGGTCCAAGGCTTCTGTAACTTCTGTAACAATTCGCTTAACAAACCTCCAGTCTAATTAGCTCAGCTACTATTAAACTACGATCCGAGAATTTAAGGTCTATTCGCTTCCATTTATATATGAGTACCCATTCATTGTAGCCGTGTTTCTAACTTTATATGAGTCCAATTCAGTAATGCAACTTACCAGATTAGTTATTGTCGTTCGTTTAAAAAAACTAATATTACAATTTGAGCTATGAGCTAAGGAAACAAGTTTACATATAGTATTATTACTTAAAGCAAGCAACCGGGACTCGTTGATTATTAAACCGGATAATGGATGGCTAATGGATTAGCTGAACAAATGACTCTATTGGATACCATCCGCTAGTTGGTAGCTATCATTGAGATCCCAAACGGATGTTTCGTCCTAATCTGCAACTGGGTGTAGATCCATCCAAGTGAGTGGTGGTGTGTCCAATCGTGACTCAATAGCTTAGATGGATAACGCTCTAGTGTTTGAAGCTATGGGTGCTTGGTTAGAATCTCAGTGAGAATATCATTACTCCCTTACACGCACGTACATCTACTTGATAAGTCTCAAATATGATGAAGCTCTTGATGACATAACTGCAGATCAGTCATAATGGCGCCGATGTTTTCATTCATTGACATCTTCTAAAGCTTGAATATTCTACCACACAACTTTGTCTATTGTGATATCACAATTTTATATCCATCTGTTCTTTGTATACTACTGTGAAGTGTGGCAAGTTAAACCTATGCGTTTATGTGCGAGACTCTAATAATTACATAATATAATACATTTGCTTTATTTCGAACCACAATTTTGTTTACGGTATAGACTTCTAAGCATATGAAATTGCATCAGTTTACTCGTTGGCGTTTAGCAATGCATAACAGATAATAGCAGGATGGTTGATATGTTTAATGACTTCTGGATTATGATAAATCCTCGCTACTGCAGAGTTCATTGATAAGATTACGTCTTCATATGATAATATAAACTAAATAAGATATGGTTGAATTTTGCATGTAGTTCTGTCTGCAGGAAGTTTATTGTATTTGCCTATTGGAGAGAGGTGTGGATGAAGAGGATACTTGTCATCGGATAAAATATACTTGTAGTCAGCTATTTACAATAACTTAAGATGCTTTTCCACGACCGAATTTATCATTACTGTCAGTAGTTCTACTGACAGTCTTCAAATTCTTACACAATACACTGTAATCTCTTTTAGGGAGTCTAGAAAAGAATAAAGGGGGACAATAAGTTTAGGCAAAAGTTATGAATTAACGAAGATTAAGCGTAAAGGTCGAGTTCTACCAGACAACTTGAGTTTCTTTATATTAGAAAGTCAAGAGAAGGATCTTCCTCAAAATCACTAGATGCGGAGGGATCAAGGAAGATCAGAATAAAAGCGTCATGGATTACACTTGATACATCGTCTGCTACACAGCCATTAATGAGATAAGTCATCGGACTATAGTAATTAACGCACGTTCTATTCACATCTTAAGCTGAAATTAACCATCCAATACCAAAAAATAGGCAAAGAGGATACTGTGGTTAGGAACTTGTGACAGATTTATATCCTCCTAATATACTATTACTATGATTGTTATGATAATTGTAATTTACCGTTGCTAAACAGAATCTAGTTGCTTGACCTCTGTTGGCAGATGGGTTCCTATGCCATCGCCTAGATACTTCTGAATATTCATGATGTTATATCGATCTTGGTGACAAGCACAGAAGTTCAGGACGCGCGTTTCGTCCTATTTGGGACTCGTCAGTTGGATATACCTGCACCCCAATGAGAAGTGGCTATCATTTCTCCGTGGCATGGTGGATAACGCCTTGGCGCTTGAAGCGATGAGTATGAGGTTCGAGTCTCACTGGGATGCAGGTACATACAGCTAACGAGTCTCGAATAGGATGAAACGCGCGTCCTGGATTCTTCCGCTAGCCACCACCAACCAAATTGCCATTATTATTATTGTTATTATTATTGAATGTCAACCAACAAATATGTGGATATAGACCCAATCCACTTAGGAAGAAAACAGTCATCCATCAGCCAACGACAAATTAATCAGACAAATCAATAACCATGCACAGTGTGACAACAAAAAACAGCACAATTCCACTCAAACAAAGAATGTCTAATGACATGACTGAAGGAAATTTAAGGTCGAAGAGGTCAGGGTGTAATGAAAAAAAAATCTCTTTCTCAACTTACAATTGGAAGATATCCAAGGTCAATAAAAACATTATATAAACATTCGTATAATATTCAAATACGCTACACTTTTTTATGAGGTTAGTGATCATGTCACTAAGCTTAGTGATGAGATGTTCACGACGAATATCATCAAAGCTACTACTATTCACATTCTGAGCTAAAAATCTTTCCCATCATGTTGATCCCTGTCATTGGTAATATGTTAGAATTTGAAAAAAATGACTGACCTGCGATAAGCTCACATGTAACTTCAATATCCTCCTGACCAGGCATAAAGATTAGAATATCACCTTAATAAACAGAGTAAAGAAATAGGTAAACGATGAATAAGGTTGACTCCGAAAACCTGAAACAGTATATGAAGTTTGCAGGCATTAAATACTGCTGACGAGGAAAAGTAATTGACAACCATTTACATTGGTCAACAATGTTCACTAGTTCAGTTCAAGGCAATCTATGTATAAAATGGGTTTCTCTCGTTTCTTTGAGGTTAAGCTTATATCAATAGTGGATATGGATTGACTTAGATCAAAGAAATGAATCATTCAAACTGCTCAAACCCTTGATTAACTATTCTAGCGAACAAGTGATACATGAATACTAATCCAGGTGATTGTATATCACACTGTTTGGGTAACATCTTTCACATTCACAATCCTAAAGCCAATGATGTTTTTTAGCCAGACTAAAACATTGTGATTACTGAAAGGCCATAGATTTGCATAAAATATTTTTAAATTATCGTTTTCATGTCATTTCCCCCGCCATTTTCAAGGTAACTCGCTGATTGGTTAATATGCTTACTTTTACTGTGGTAATGTTTGAAATTCTGGACAAGGTCATATCTCACGTATGTATACATACACATGTTTTTGAGTTAATTGACTATTCTTTTTGGAGGAATAAACTTTCCCATCCAGTTCAACCGTCTTCTCCATTTCGTCTAAGTTGAAGTCAGTAGATCTAGCATACGAAGTTAGCTGTCAGTCAAACGTGCATACTATATCTTTTCGGAATATATAGATATTTTGGTTTCCGAAGCAAATTTCCTGAATTATTACAATTGATTTAAAATAACACGGCAACAAGAGGAACTGCTACGTGAAATATACACACGCAGGAAGTATGAGATTAGTTAATAAAAAAATATATGAGGGTCTCAAATATCTACAATCTCCCAACTATTATCAACTTAGATGGCAACAATTAAAGTGAACTTGTATAAAGAAAAACTTAGGATGACCTCAATTACTACTTTTATTTTGCAAGGTGAAGAAATACCAATGATATGCATCGAATGAGCAAATGACCTTGAACAACCAATCACGTCGCGAGAATATAAAAACGCAATTAAGATGGTATGAAATATGTACATTAGTATAAGAAAATGACTAAACAGGATAATTTTCATAAACATGTTATAGACGTCTATTCCAGTTTTCTATGGCATGGTTCACGGAGAAGATAAACGAACTTTTATACATGAATTCGTTCAGATAGCTTTAGATCACTTTATTTCGAGCTATTAAAGAATATTTCTGATCTTTTGTTTTAGCCTAGACTAAAATGCTTCATCAGAATTTGTGTGAATACCAGTAACTGGGTGAACGAACTTTCTAATGAACATAAACTAAGTCTCTCACACCACGGTATACAAACCGCTAGTCTGCATGAATTATAGTCTTAGCGTGGACAAGGTGTTGAAATATAGGAAAATATAAGTTATACTTCTCTTCGGGATTCTTTCTATGAATTATTATTATTCGTCCTTTGGGTTCCTAGTGGAGCATATGGATATAGTAGCAAGTCTCCATTTTACTGTCTTCTCTCCAGTTTGTCCAACGTGGCCCTACGACCGCTAATAACCTTTCATTTCTTCCTCACACCATCTCCTCTACGTCACCATCGGACGCCCAACTCGTCGTTTCACATTTGGGTTCCACTCAGTGGCCACGCCTGGCCTGACGCGTGATGTCCTCAATCGGTTTTCTCAGTTTATGTCCAATCCAATTCATCTCCACTTTCTTCTTGTGCATATTTGTTGGGTGATAGGTTCTTGGTTAGTTGGTTCGTTGCTAGGCCATCTGATCTGATCTTCAGTATCGAGTGAGCGTGAGCGGCAGCGATTGATAATGTATATCTGTAGTTTCTTGGAAATGCTTTTCGTAACGCGACAAGTCTCTCAAGTATAATAATAGAAGCACTGGCCTGACTTAGCGTTGAAAATCCTGATGTTGTTCACGCTTTGTGCTGAGTATGGTAGACCTTCACTCTGATTTGAGGTTAATGAAGGCCTGTCTTGATGTCTTTCTGATCCTGCCTTTGATATCCTTATCTCTAGCGTCTGTAGTTGAGACGATGCTGCTTAGGTAGGTGGAAGAGACAACTTAATTAACATTTCTCTTGTTCATAGTGATTACTGCTTGTTGTAGTTGTTGGTTGGGTATCTTCATCACCTCTGCTTTCTCTACATTCACCTCAACTCCCGTCTTCTCTACTTCGCCTCACCTCTTCTGCCAACTTGTTGATTTTCACCTGTACATCTTCGAATTTGTGCGACATAACACACTAGACATAAATCATCATGGTTGGCGAAATCCGAATCTTCTAGAATCTTTTCATCGGTCAAACAGCGTATGCTTACCTTCTCACAGATCTTCACTGTTTGTCGCTTAATCCAGTCTACTCCACTCCACTCGACTACAATCAGGAAGATCATCGGTGATGATAGTAGACAGCCTTGTCTTACCTGTCAACCTTTCTTCGCTTCAAAGGCATCACTCAGCTTTCCATTGTGTTGTGAATCACTTGGCATGTAGCATCATAGAGCATATAGCTTTTCGTTTTGCTGCTTCCTCAGCTTTCAGCGACTTTATGGCCTTGAAGACTCCTGCTTTTGCCGAAGGGTTTGTGTTCACTGATAGTTCTGTGGCTGGGCTATTGTTAGTATTTCTGAACGAGTTGCAGGTGGTGGTGGCGATGGTGGATTCAAGAGTATTTTGAAGTGGTCAGCCCATCGTTTTCTTTCCATGAATCCTTTTCTTAAATTTGTGTCGTTCATTCCAACCTTACAAACCAGGTTTGTTACCATTCGTCCTCTAATATATTTTGTTTTCATAAAAACTATTTCATCTTAATGTACTACCACGACCATCCCACGAAAAAGACATATAATGTTGTTTATCTCTCAGGACATAAAATCTCTAGTGTTGAAACCTCTTCATAGTTGAAAGAAAGTTGTTCTGAGTTCCGGTAGCTGACACTCGTACTAGTCTTTTTAGTATCGACCAGTGACATAGAAACATCTTCATTAAGAAAAACTTAGATCTGGAGAGAACACGACTGAGAACAGATTCAAGATGAAGTAACAATGAACAAACTCCTTTCGGTTACACAACGCACACAGGAATTCTTAACCATCAACAGCTTTTCTACGTTATAGTCGACCTTGCCTAACGTCAGCACAATTTTCGTTTCCTTATAAGTCGTTGATCCATAAAATACTGGGAAATAGTTTCAGATAGAAGCTGTGCACGCAGAAAGTGTTCGTCGCTCATACCTAATGGTAGTTGCATTAATAATGAATCAGTTGTGCTCGCTCCCTATTTTAGTTCGATTTGGATGGAGACGAAATAACGGCTGAGACTCTGGTTTGATGACAATGAAAGGAGGGTTACATATCACTGATTCAGATAGAAGTAGGGAAAATCCTCCGATAACTACAATGAAATTAAGACCCGGTTAACAAATCAATAGGTTACTATTTCAAACCAGGTTTCCGTTTCACTCTAAATTATCGTCTATATCATGAATACGGTGTATGAAAAACCATGGGTATTTCTGAAAATTTCACGAATACTTCACCAAGTATTCAAAATTGAATTATAGACCAAAAATCAAAAACGGCATACACGTCGTAACCTCAAAGGTGACGATTTCTCAAAGCATCATGGCATTTAAAATGTAAAAATCAGCCCTTGTAAACAAAAGGATTTTCTATTGTATGAATGGTTCTTATAAATAGCAAATGAGATACTAAATACGTACTCCCTATGTTTATTTCCTTACACTATGTGCTGTTTACAAATATATGTAATGAAGAGTAATTCAATCAGCACCGTATGATCTTCAACGGTGATTTTAAACAAGTCAAAACGATAACCAATTAACTTTTTCCTTAATAATGAATATTTACTATAATACAAACAAAAGACTTACCATCTGTAGGCGAGCCTAAATGGACTTGAATTGCTTGTTTTACAGATGCATCTACATAGTCCATTACAGTTGTCTTACTAAACTGTATATCAACTGGAAATGTTCGACCAGGAATTCTAAAAATTGGACAATCTCCAAAGAATTGAGCAAATCTTTCAGCATCCATAGTAGCAGAAGTGATTAGCAGACGTAGATCATTTCGTCTACTGACAACCTGTAATTTATTATTCGAAATAAAATGCTTATCTGTATAACTCTAAAGGATTTCATCACTTCTACTTAAGACAAGAACTTATATATGAAACTTGAAGAGATACATGTAAGAAAGTAGTTGTAAAGCAATGCATAGACTTATTTATCAACTACAAATTTACTTTACTAACTTTACCCATATGAATTTCAAATGATTTGTATATTCACCATCAAACTAGTAGTCGATATCAGCTAAGTACTATCTGTAATAATATAAACGTGAAATTTGTATACGCAAGGTAGTAACAACTTACATAAAAACGTTTACTGGATTAGAGTTCCAAAACAGTCTGTTTAAAGTAAACCTTACCAAGTACAACGGGGGTTTGAGTATGTCAACCACTAACTGAAACTCAAAAATCTCAATCTTTTTAAAGTTTTTCTCTTAAACATTTAAACAAATTGTGAGACAATAATGATGGATAGTGTTTAGCAGTGGAACAACATCGCTCACTAGGAGGTAGGTACATCCAACTGATAAGCCCCCAAATAGGACGAAACGCGCACTGTGGATCCCACTGTTAAGCATTATCCATCATTAATATATATAACTGAAACACAGGCAATATCGAGCCATCCACGCAAGAGCCTATATGCCAATAGAGACCAACCTATCCGATCCACTCGACGACGTGATAATACAAGCAACAACATAAATTCATATTTGTTACACTAAATTAATAAGAAATAAAGACTTACCTCTCGTAATAACCCAAATAGTACATCCGTATTTAAAGACCGTTCATGTGCTTCATCCATAATAATTGCAGAGTATGGGTCCAGATCAGATTCACGTAAAGACTCACGTAACAAAATTCCATCAGTCATATACTTAATAAGAGTTGAAGGAGATGTACAATCTTCAAATCTTATAGCATAACCAACTTCTTCACCTAAACGAACATTCATTTCTTCAGCAACTCGCCGAGCAACAGACATGGCAGCAACTCGACGTGGTTGAGTACATCCAACCATACCATAGGTAGTATAACCATCTTCATGTAAATATTGTGTCAATTGAGTTGTCTTTCCACTTCCTGTCTCACCAACGATTACTACAATCTAAGCAATATTGAAGAATATATATTATCTAAACACTGCAATTACTTGACAAAATAAATAATGTTCTAGAAGAAAATCCTTGGCTTAATAAAAATGATTAAATTATTGGTCCATACTGAGAATGAAAAAACCTAAATCAAAGTACATTGTATTTTGAGGGAGTTGTGAAGATTTGGAAAGATTTCAAGTTGTTATTCATCGTAGACTGACATCAGCTGAAGGGACAAAAGAAACCTGGGAGCACTGGATAGCTGTTTCATCCTAGTATGGACTCCTCAGCACTGCGCACCCACGACCCCACACCTCCAGGGATCGAACCCGCGACCTTCCGCGACCAGCGCTTGACCAGTGAGCCACTGGCCCGTATTTCCAACTTCTGTTACCTCACCTGGAATGTCACATCAACCCTGGTGCATTGATCAGTGATCACCAGCCTTATGTACCTCAGGAACTAGTCTGTCTCGAAGTCTTCTGCTCATCGTTCCAGTCATCTCCACTGCGATAGAATTATAGACCCATCCTTCTCCGCAAGTCTCACTAACCGTTGACTTTTTTGACCCAGTTTCCTTAATACGTCTAAACATTTGTATGTTGCTACCTATCACTGCTCGTTTTTCCATCTCTTTAGCCTTCGCTGACCACCACTGTTTACGGTCGTTTTATAAACGTTTTCGCCAGTCTACATTTGGGTTGTCTTCACTCTTAATTGTACTCCTAGCCTGTAGAGATGCGTTCGCATGCATCTGTTAGTTTGGAAGAAGCTGCTGATATCCACTGGCTCTTTTTAGCCACTCTTTAAGAGTCGGCTAGGGTCTTCAGCGCTGTTTTTACAGCAGACTGGAGATCGCACCAAGCTTCTTCTGGATGAGTGATAGTCTTCTCTTATGATAACTGCTTAGTCAGTTTCTCAATGAATGAAATCTTAACACTTTTATTGACAAGTTGCAATAATAATAGTCTTTTTGCTAAAGTATTTCTACGTTCATTGAAACGAAGATATATAAGCGTGTTTGCTATCCAAACACGTGCTCCATAAGGAGCGGCAAACTCCCACCAAACCTCTCCAGCGATGACTGACAGGAATGTGGTCTATCTGTGTCTATCGCTGAGTTGAGTGAGCTCGGTGGACGCCACGTCAGACAATATGTCTTAAGTGTCTGAAGTGTGTGCCAGCTAGAAATAAACAGTTATCTAAGTACAGTTGTAGTAAGCGGTTAACTTTATCTGTTCATTCAGCCGAGATTCCAAAAGTCCTACCTAAGTGCCTTTCTGCATCACTCAGTTTACCCACTTGTGCGCTGAAATCACCTGCGAAAACAACCACGTCTGAACGTTTAGCTTCCAGAGGAAGGCTAGACGGTTTTCAGCAGAACTCATCCTTCACTTCTTCCGAATTGAAGTCAGTGAATGGCTGCGTAAGCAGAGATTACAAAAAGACAACGGAGAGTTTCACTTTTCCTTTTAGTTCTCACTGTACCGTTCAACCGGACAGCGCATAGACGACTGTCAACTGGGATTTAGTCTAGTAGTGAGCTTTCAGCACTAGTGCTTAATGCTATGCTTACACTTGCAAGACAGTCAGAACTAGCCGTCGAGTCTCCAGAAACTCAAAGGATGAATTTTGAGTACTCACCATACTGACCGGAGAGGTTAAGTTATTAACCACAACTACGTCTTGTTTGCACGTCTCACAAGCACAGAACACGCCCATGGTCTAAGTTGCTAGAGTTTTGTCCAATGAGGCTTGTTGGCTAATTAGACGGAGAGCAGAGGACATTGAAGGCTCCATTGTTTAATATGGAGACCAAAGATGCTATTCTGGGGACTAAGATCGTTGTTGAAAACTGCAGAGCTAGAAGATATTAAAGATGATGTAGGATTGTTAACTGAAAGACATGAAAGAAGACTAGGTGAAGATGAGAGAGGTGGATAGCAATCTGAAGGATCTTTTGATGGATCGCACCCCAATGTAGCATTTGTAATGGAGAGTGAACGTAACAACAAATTCCATATCCTAGACCTCAGCATGCAACGTCATACACAAATGAAAAGACTCATTGATACATTCATCGAAAAGGCGCATGGAATGGGTTTTGTTTAAACTTAAATAGCTTTCGTCAATTCAACCATGAAGTGTCAGGTAAGAACACTTTTCAATCATACGCATAAGCTGTGCTCTGGAAAGAAAATTGAGGAAGAAGTGACCTTTGTTGAAAACTGCCTCCATGAAAATGATCACTCACAAGAGTTTATCGATAACTACGGCAAGATAAAAGAAAGAGAATCAAGAGCAAAGCATTCGATATGCACATCTTTCTATACTTTACCTTCAAAGGGAATGAAATCCTCACACGGATGAAGTATAGACTAAGTGATGCACTGAAGATTAATCTAACCACCAAGGCAGTTTGTCTGCACCAGACGAACTGCTCATTAAGACAATCCAAACCGAGCAAGTTTCCGTGTTGTTACCTCCATCAAAGCATAAACCTTAGAAGAACAAATGGAAGGGTTTTTGTTCATATTTCTGAACATGTGTCAAAGAATTTCAGTCTTAAAGATTTACAGAGTTTAAACACTGTGATTACTCGGTGTCTACTTGATACTGGACATAAAGTTGGCATATTAGGATCGTTTAAAGTGATCAATAAACAACTGAAACCAAACATTTTGCGGTTTGATGAATCAAGTGAAATTAAAAGACTTAAACCGAGTCTAGGCATTCAGAAACATGCTGATGTCCACCTTGCGTTGTCCTGATAAATCGAATATCCTAAAATTGTACAAAAGACTTCTATTTCCGCTTTCTTCTCTAGAATGTTTACCATATTATTCTATAAATAGTTAACCTTTGAGTAGTATGACAAAATCTCAGCCCTGATAAAGAAAGCCCCATTTGGTACTTGCCAACTTGTTTCATTTGTGGCACCAACTAGCGAGATATCTGACTATCTATCGAGGGTGAAGGATACTGCACTGCAATCCGTTCTCCCCTATTGTACAGCTGTGAGCCGTGGCCATAAAAAAAAAATAGAAAGCATGAAGTGATTACAGGGTTTTAATCACAGATACCTTCATAGCATTGCTCATATCTGCTGGAATCATCGAGTGAGCAATGTTGCAGGCAGAAGAAGGGTACTAGGTAAGAAAGGTAAGTCAAGTGACGAGGTTATGAACCTTAGCCGACTGAGATGGCCTGTACACATACTACGCATGCCAAGTAACCGCCTACCACGATATGCCATGCTAGGGGAATTCGCATCAGGTTGGAAGAGGGTACAGGTTGACCAGACCAAGGCCTGATACCAATCGATAAAGTGTGACTGTTGGCCTACGCCATGTGGCAAGATGTAGACTCCCGAGCTGGGATCCCCGAGATTAAAGGAATCAGTATTTGAGGACACTTGGTGACATGGCTGAAAATCCGTCAAAATGGTACAGATGTTTTCACCCACCCACACCTTCTTACGCTTCAATATTCACACCAACCTTTATCCTCAAATCACTTTTTATCTCACATAACTCTGTCAACTCTGATATCACTTTTTCTATTCACTTGTTCCTTGTATACTACTTATTACTGTAGAGTGTGGCAACTTGCCCCGATGCACTTGTCGCGGAGGTTCTACGTTGATTTTGTTGGTCAGTTTTAACAACATCAAATTTTACCAATCTCAATCAGTCTACATCTTGGTTACTTTTCATTCATTATTCATTCAGATCAACCTAAAACCAGGCATTACTGCGTAACGGTCCAAGTCACCACACCTCATATCAGTACGTCAAGTAAAAAGCAGTGAGGTGCAAGATGAAGATAAGAAATTTCAGTCAAGAAAAATATAAAGTACGAGAGGAAAGAAAGGAAGAAAGAAAAAATGGTGAGGTTCGATATAGCGTCGTTAAGATGAGGATAATGTGTGCATAGATCTGTACCACTGACATCGGTTCTCAGCCATGTGATCACCTAGAGTCTCCAACCACTGGTTCCTCTTGTCCCACGGACCCCAACCACCTAGTCTGCATCGCCCCACATGGCTCAAACCAACAATCAAAGACTTCATACATTGGTGCCATGTTTTAGTCTGGCCACCTCTAGCCTTATTCCAGAGTAAACTTACTTCGGCCACCACTGTGTGACAAGGCAATCGACGACTAAGCATACATAGTACGTGTCCCAACCATCTCAGTCAATAAAGGTTCATAACCTCGTCAACCGATTTACCTCTACTCCCTAAAACTTTATACCTGACATCTGCGTTACTCATGTAGTGACACCACGGAATACGGCCTATACTACGAAGGCAACGGTGGTCAAACACTTGAAGTCTCATGTCTTCCACCTTTAATGGCCATGTTTCACAACCATACAGTAGAACAGAGTGGACTGCTGTGCAGTACACGTGACCCTTAATAGACAAACGGATATCACGGCGGCGCCATAGGTGGCGTAAGCTGATGAAAGCCAATCGAGCCTTTTGTATATCTGTGCAGAGATTTCATCGGCCACTGAACCACCAGGGCAGGTCTGATCCTACTTCCCAGGTAAGTGAAGTGGTCAACACACTCAACCACTACACTCTCTATTGTTAGCCACGGTACTGCTGAAGACCAGTCCTGGAGCAAAAATTTGCATTTGGGTGGTGAAAACCGCATCCCAAATATTCTCAAATTCCCACTCAAAGTGTTGAGAAGACTCTGCATCTTGTCGTCACCTAATAGGACTATGTCATCTGCATATTCTAGATCTAGCGAAAATTCATCTGTGATTGGGTCAACGTCTGTGTAACCAGATGACGAGAGGGATACCTCCATAAGTATATCTATGATAAACTTAAATAAGAATGGAGATAGTAGGCATCCTTGACGGACACCACTCGATGAGTGTAGCTCCCTGGACAACTTGCCATAGGCTCTAACATGCCCACAAGTTTCCGAGTAGAGAGCTTTAAATAAGGCGATGTACTTACTAGGCACGCCATTCAGTGACAGACATTGCCATAAGACGGTAGCTGACGAGAATCCCCAAAATACTGTACTTTATTACTATTGTTCTTCTTGCTTGAGTCAAGTTCCAGTTAATACCAACAAATGTGACTATCAATCAGTTCATAGGTTTATTTTGAAAAGTAAAAACAACTAAATAATAGGAGGCTACAAGACTTCTTTCAACTAGGGACAGGAGCTGTGGTCCACTAGTTTAAGCAGTTGACTTTCAACTAGTGGGCTATGAGTTCGAACACCGTTCTACCTATTGTGAGTTGGGTAGCCAGGTAGTTGTATCATTAACTCTCTCACAAAATAAATGTGACTCATTGCCTACTGCATAAAGGTGTACAGAGTTGCTAACCAAGTTATTTCTTTCTTTCTTTTGCTAGTATTGGGCACAGGATGAAACAGTGAAAATAAGACAAATGAAAATCACTGTAATACTTGAAGTTCATTAGGTTCACTGGTACATAAAAAACTATTTAGGAAGAGATTTCACCAAAATGGTTATGATTTTATGCTTGAAAAGTAAAGTAGTAAAATGTAATAGTATAGTTAGAGAAAATAATAAAGAGACCTATTAGAAGGAATACGATATTTGATATAGCCAGAGTATTTATGTTTTAACCAATACTAAACAAAATACATGAAACTTACCTGATGTTCTTTGATCATTCTAAGCAAAGATGTTCTTACAGAGAACACTGGTAAATATTGTCTCTGTTCAACAATAGTCTTTCTGGTAGCAAAATCGCTAACAGCCTCAGATTTCATGTCACCAACTTTATCAGCAAATGTTTGAGTATCACGATGTGATTTTTCCGACCAACTATCTTGTTCCTCAGGTGGTTTTATACCCATAACTTCACCTATGCGTGTCCCAGCCAATTGCCATTCCTTTTTTTGTGCTCTTTTACGTTCTTTCTGCTCTCTGAAGTATTTCACTATTGCACTGCCTTTCTGAGCAACCTTAGCCATTATACTATCCGGATCCTGTCAAAATAGAGCACATAGTAATTTACTGAAATGTAAACGACTGTTAGTAAACTAAACTTTGATGCGCCAGCGCCAAAATTTAAAGGATAAAGAAAGAAACGTTTTGTACATTAACATTAGAGAAAATACAAATAAAGACGTTAATGCATAAAATTAAAAACGAAAATAACGAACAGAAACCTTCAAAGAAGAGGTCCTCTTTTCAGCAATATCATTCTCAAACTGTACAATCATAGTAATGATGGACAGTAGCTAGCAGTGGAATCCAGGATGCTCAATTCGTCCTATTTGGGACTCGTCAGCTGGATATACAATCATAAATAAGTAATACAGATACTCACCCATTAAAATCCATTCAGCAACCATGTGCTCACTGTCAGACTTATTGTGTGAGGGCTAAGAATAGTATTTGATTGCCCAAACCTTGGTCGGCGGGACGGAGTTCGAACCCATGGCTTATCAGGTTTCTGTATACTTCACTTCCCAGTTTTCCCAAATTAAACCATCTAGCTTAGAGAACACATCATCAAAATTGTCCTCCTACGTTACAAATATTCTCCATCACACAGCATAGTCCTGCAGCTGTTCTATTATTTTCCAACGCCTGACTGGGATGAATAGGATCATGCAACAGACCGTGAGGAGCTAGATGAGCATATAGAAGCCGATGATGATGTATATCTTATGTCTTATACCGCACAAACTCAAAGTTCTACAGGTGAAAACCAACAAGTTAGCGGAAGAGGCAGGGCAGCGAAGACGGGACTTCCTTCAGGTGAACGTAGAGAAGACAGAGGTGATGAAGATATTTAACCAACAAACACAAACACTAATCGCCATTAAAGGGAAAAATCTAAAGAAAGTTGTGTCTTTCACCTACCAACCTACTTACCCAAACAGTATCGTCTCATCTACAGGCGGCGGTGGCACAGATGAAGATGCGAAAGCCAGCATCCGAAAGACAGCAAGACAGACCTTCATTAACCTGAAATCGGTGTGAAGATCTACTGCACTCGGTATAAAGAGTGAACAAGATCCGGACTTTCAAGACTCATGTTAGTCAAGTCAATGCTTCTATGTGACGGTTGAGAGACTTAGCGTGTCATGAAAAGCACATCCAACAAACGAAAGACATACATCAACAGCTGCCGCCTACGCTCACTCCATAGACAAGATCAGATAGCCAGAAAGAATAAGAAGGAGGAACCTATCGCCGAACAAATATACAGAAGAAAGTGAAGATGAATTGGATTGGACACACCCTGAAAAGACCGGTTGGGGATATCACACACCAAGCTCTCAAGTGGAACTCAAATGGGAAACGACGAGTTGGGCGTGTGAGGGTGACATAGAGATGGTGTGAAGAAGAAATGAAAGTTTCTGGACGGTCGTGAAGCCAGGTTGCAGAGACTGCAGAGAAGAGAAGAGAATGAAATGGAGATGTACTACTGAATCCTTATGCTCCACTAGGAACCCAAAGGACAAATCGTCATATTAATAATAGTTACAGCATAGTGATTTGAGGATTACCACTGCTCGATAACTTAAAGGCCATTGGCTTCCTACGAATTCACAGAGTTGTTATTGACTTCATGATTCCTTACCTTCAAATAGAATCAATACACAGACTCATTGCCAATGTCGACTAACCAAGAACAGAATTCAATGAGAATTATGTTTCGCCGTCAGAATTTATTCTCTAGGCGATAGAATTTTGAGTCCTAAATTGAAAACCATCTAAATACTGTTTGTTACAGAAATCGGTAACCCACACGACTGAAAACAACATTGGGATTGAAAAACTACTGTGCAGGTAGAAATTACTACAATCTACATTATGATATCAAGAGGAAGTGTAGAAAAATAATGAATAAATAATAAAATATAAATTATAACAGGTTAAGATTCGAAAGCTAATCAGACAGTACATGTTTACAAGTATTTTTCCAGCTAAGTGGTGTATTTCGTCATTAAATATCCTCCTCAAGATTTTTCGAACCAGTTTTCCCGAAAGGCTTTATCTAGCTAACAAGGTTATAACATTCTTATGCTCCTGATCCATTAGGTTAACTTTAAAAATGTTAAAGAAATTACAACTTCGACAAATTGAAAATCAACTGTTTCTGACTGAGATTACTTAAGTAGTTGTATTATTATTATTATTAGTCCCTTGGGTTCCTAGTGGAACATAGGGCTTCAGTAGCACGTCTCCAGTGACCTCTGTTCTCTGAGATCTTTTGAACCTGGTCCCACGACAGCCCACAACCTCTCATTTCCTCCTCGCACGACCTCCTCCATGTCACCCTCAACTGGGACGTCCAACTCGTCGCTTCCCATGGGGATCCCACTCGAGCAACTGGCCTGACGCGTGATGTCCTCAGTCGGCCTTCTCAGTGCATGCCCAATCCATCTCCACTTCCTCCTGCATATTTGTTGGGTGATAGGTTCTTGGTTGGTTCGTTGCCAGGCCAGAGCTCCTTGTTGCTTATTCTTTCTCGCCATCTGATCTTCAGTAGCGAGCGTAAGCAGTTGTTGATGAATGTCTGTAGTTTATTGGAAATCACTTTCGTGACGCACCAAGTCTCTGAACCATACAGAAGCACTGACTTGACGTCGGTGTTGAAAATCCGTAGTAGTTGTATAACATAAAAACGAGATAATATGAATACTACTTTGTGAAAACTTGTACTAATTTATATGTATTCTCATGATAGATGAGATAAAATACCATGATTTAATGAAAATAGTAACTTTACTTTAACAGGAATAATAGGCTCAGGTTGACGAGTAAAAACAATCCGTCCATCCAAAAATGGTGGTAAGATATTACGAACCAATAAGTGAACTCTTGCCTCTCCTTCTTCATCAAAGTCTTCATCTTGTTCAAAGTCTACACGTTGAACAACCCCAGATCTTAGCATACGATTATGTTCCCATGCTTGATTATCTTTGTGAACTTGAACAGCTTTAGCAGTTAAACGTTGTTTGTGTCGTTTTTTACGTTCTTCAAGTTGACGTTCCTTTTTAGCAGCATATTCCTCCGGAATATCTAATGTATAATAGTAGCAAGAAAAAAATAACAATGATCATCATTTAACAAGACTTGTTTTGTGAAATACGATGTTATTGATATCAGCTGGAGGGTTGATGAGAATGAAAGAGCAGTAGAATACAGGATGCGTTTCTTAAATCCCATTGAGTGATGACGTTCCCACCAAGTCGAACCAAGTGCCTACTACAATAAATCTTGGTGTTATCCGCTCCTTTATTAAGTCATTATTCTCATGAATCTTCAGGCAATACTGAGGCATCCGCATAGAAGCCTATATACCAACAGAGGTCGATCAATCCCGCCAGATATAACAATACCAAATTAAAGGTATCGATAAACAATAACAACCCATACTTGCTGAACAAGAAACGGTTCTTGTGCCACAATGGTCTAGTAGATGATATTCTAACATTTGAGACGACGGGTGTTGGGCTCATGTCCCACCACTCGCTGGGGTGTAGATACATCTTGGTGATGAGTTTTAGATGAAGTGAAACCGGAGTCCTGGATTCCACGGCTAGCTATATCACATTTAAATTTCGAAATTCGTAGATATTAGAATTAAAGACTGATTTGGTAGAGCTAAAAAGGTTGAGTAATGAATGAATGGTATATATAAGTGGAATGTATTTGTAGAATTCCAGTTAAGTAAAAAGGAGATTTCAAACGGTTCGTGACCTCATGGAAATCATTTCTTCTGAGAATAAGACATATACAAGTAACTGAATATTTAGAATTTTCTACTAAACTGCGACCTAGATTTCGTGCTTCTTGGCATTCATCAACAAGCCATATCTACAACCTCAACAGAACTGATATCCTGCCTGAAGTTCAAACTCGCGCCAAACAATGCTGCAGTCACAAATGTTACCAATGAACTGCTCGGGCCGAAACTGACCTCTTGTAGGACTGGATTAGGTACATTGATTTGTCACTGGAGGTTAACCAACCTCATGTTGTCTGGTTGTATAAATATCACGGTAGTATTTATCACGAACTGACATCAGTTGGAGAACTACTGGGGACCTAGAATCACTGGATAATTGCATCGCCTTGTTATGAGACTCAGCAGTACACATACCCGTGAAACTGTCAGAGGTGGAACTCAGAACCTTCAGGTCTGGTGGCTAATGGATTGACCAATGAAACCTTAAGTTCGATCTGTGAAGAGGTCATGCTTGTGTACTGCTGAGTAGTCCGTTATTTGGATGAAACAACTGTTCAGTGTTACCAGGTTTTCAATGCTTCTTTAACTGATATCAGTCGAAGATCAATATTACCCTATCCTACCCTACCCTGCCCTCAAAAGAAGCATATTAAAATACTTACTTACCAGCAAAAGGATTGTTATCATTATCATAACCATCATCCATCTGATACCAGTTACGATCTAGTTTCTCATTCTCAGCTTTTATTGCATCTGTATCCTCCTCTACTTCAGCAGAACCACATCTCCCATTATCACTTTCATTTTCATTACGATGCTTTGAATCGAACTGGTCTTCAGTATGCCTGTGTGAATGAGACTTTTTCGAGTCGAATTCTCGTGTACCATCTTTATTTGATTGCATCCAAGAGTTATGCTTAAAAGTTGGAGTTGGCATAGGAGTATACGTGTATCGATCGTTTGATGAATTGCGAGCAAGTGACCCAGTGCTTCGAGGAGTTGTAGACCGACTTGTTCCTAACCCAGAGTCATCCCAAGTAGAATGTCCTGGAGATCGTTCATCGATTGCATGAACTTCTGGAGTTTGGAATCGATTAGTACTTGATCCACTAGTATTTCCACTTTCTCTAGCACTACGATTAGGCGTTTCATCTTCCCATTCCTCTTCTCTTCGGCGTCGTGTACTCAAAGATTCATTTTCTCTGACTGCTTCATGACCGGAAAAACCTATAAAGAGTTACACAACATAGAGGAACTGTGAGAGGTAGTTTGTCTAATAGAATGTATTTTTACAGGGAATGTGAGAAATAATGACAAATGTAAATATACAACTGATTCAATAAAAATACCTACGAACTTTTAATATGATCATAGTATAAATTCCAGATGAGTAATAACGCTAAGACTTATCATTCTGAGTGTGAATCAGGAAACCAATGAACCAATAATCTCTCTATTTGAGTAAAGAAAGGATGTATAGGTTTAAAATGTAGTCAGTATATATGCTGATTCATATGTGAGGCGTTTCTAAGCATTTTGGTTGACCATTCAGTACATCCAGAGGGATATCCTAATGACTACGGATCCTAAAATCTTGACTATTGTATGTTTTGTTATATGTTCTAACATACAACTCCAGAATTACAAAAGTAAAGTATACCCAATACGATGAATTACATTAATTATCATTTTACTATCTGAGATAGCTATAGTTTGGTAGACTAGTATTTATACTGGATGACGATTGAAGGTGAAATGAAAATTTGGACCGTGGCTGGATTCGAACCAGCGACCACAAGGGACCTTGTAGATCAGTTGGTAAAACATCAGGCCAGAAACTCAATGGTCGCTGGTTCGAATTCGGCCACGGTTCAAATTTTTATTTCACCTTTAATCATCACCTGGTATGAATTACACTTACTCGACTCCCAAGTTTTCCCAAACAATCTAGTCCAGCTGAGGAGAACACGAACTATGCTTATTGCATAGTTTCATTGCTTAGAAACAGCAAACAAGTCTCTAACCATAAACTGATGCAATATTACAAATGGTTATAGTTGGTCAGTCACTATCCACGTGGGACCTGTGGTTGGGTTTGCATATCGAAATGACCCAGTCGGATAGTAATGAAATAATAAGCAGTTACCGTTATAGTGTAAATTACTATAATGTGATGAGGGTCTCAGGGCAAAAATGGAATGGGGCGTAACATCAGTAATGTTTCTTCCATGGATGTCCAGCATTTCCTACTGTTTTCCATATGCGAAGGGGTTAGAAGAAGTTGACCCTAAAGTAGCATACACCCTTTGCAATGCCTTCTTTCAATCCCTGCGGTCTGGATATTCTAGCAGGGTTCAACAAAAACATTTAAATTTAAAACTTCAAAAAAGATCATATATAACTGGTTTCAAGCAGATATCTTCAGGGTTCTGCAGTCACACACCTATAATACAAATCCTGTTTTTCTTCAAGGGATTTCAGGAAAAAGTAGCGTTCAATGGTGTCAAAAATGGTAAGTGTAAATGACCCACACAACTTCAAAAATCATCGCAGATAATGTGAATGCCAAATATTTATTGCACGCTACTTTTGACCACCATCAAAGGAAATATTTTTAGTAGTAGTTCACCGGTATGTCTAGCAAACAGGGCTGCTGGCTCGAGCTCTCAACGTGTCTTACCAATCACGGTGTGACAAGTTTCATCTTATCTCTAAATCAAACAAAACTAATATGATTCATGGTTTCGCTTAAATAGTCATACAGAGATGATGTTTCTGGTTGGTGAAAACGATTTGTGATATTAGTAAAACTGATTAATAGTCTATGTTCAACGGTTCTGCTGAGTCTTTTTAACAAAAAAAGATGGAAATCATCATTACTGGGTATGGATCACTGGTTATTAAGCATTTTACTGGATGGGACAGTAAACAGTTAAATATCATCAGTAAGAGAGAAGCTCTGGGGATATATATATGACCAAGATGAAGGGATTTAGTGCCACACAGTAGAATGAACGATAACAACCGCTTTGCATTTTTCCAAAGGCTATCTTCTAGACTAGTTTCAAAGTTCTAAAGATAATAACATCAATGTAGGGCTGAATAAGAACAATATGTAACGTGTAGTTGAAAGAGAAATAGCAAAAAACAGCCAAGATTACATATGATAGAAGGCTATGATAGAAATAGGTTTGTTGATAATATGAAGATGGTAATCGAAGGAAAATTAATTCTTAGTGGAACAGCAAAGAAACAAACTGAACATATAACTGAACCACTATGAAGCAAATCACCTACCAAAAGATGAAGAACCTAAGGAACATATAACAAAAATGTAAGAACGATACATTAAGGCTTTAAGCGAAATGAATGGAAGTAAGTTAATTAACATTATACCAGATGATGATTGAAGGTCAGATGAAAATCTGGACCGCGGCCGGATTCGAACCAGCGATCACATTATTATCATTATTACGATGATTTGTCCTTTGGGTTCCTAGTGGAACATAAGGATTCAATAGTACATCTCCATTTCATTCTCTTCTCTTCTCTTCTCTGCAATCTCTTCAACCTGGCTTCACGACCGTCCAGAAACTTTCATTTCTTCTTCACACCATCTCTATGTCACCCTCACACGCCCAACTCGTCGTTTCCCATTTGAGTTCCACTTGAGAGCTTGGTGTGTGATATCCTCAACCGATCTTTTCAGGGTATGTCCAATTCAATTCATCTTCACTCTCTTCTACATATTTGTTCGGCGATAGGTGAAGGCTTTCAACTTGATTTTGAAGGTTCCTTGCGCTGCTCCTCTTCTTGATCTTGTGTCCAGTAGGCTGCGTCTACACTTTCCTCAGATTGAGATGAAGTCGATCTGATTTTTTATGTGTCCATCTGGTGAAATCCATGTCGCTTTGTAAATATCCTTTTACACACTGCCTCCAATCACCAAGTCATCAAAGGCGCAGAAGTCTGGAAACAGTTCTCCATTCTCATTCATTTAAACGAGTGCGATCACATTAGTAAAGAATTATTAAATCATTTACTCTCTTTAGGTAAAACCATGATAATGTTCAACGCAAGAACAACCTTTGGGATGTATATTCAAGTAAAAAAACATGTTGTTTGCTACTTAGGATAACACACAAAAGTAGTATATGGTTCACTGTTGCTCAGACAATTACTCAACCTTGACATTCATTGAAAGGGGCTTTTGGTTAGTAGATCCTTCTAACAACCACTCGTTATATGGGCATCTGAGGGTGTGTTAGCATCTGTGGTGAGTGTTACGTGTCGAGTGGTATCTATCAAAGTTGTTCAGTCTCTTCACTTTCACTTAACTTCGTCACAGATACATTTATGAAGATTCTTACTTGACAGGGAATAATCTTGTAGATACAAAGTACGCAGATGGCATAGTCCTGTTTGGTGGAAATGCTGAAAAGATAAAGTATTCTAGACGATTTGAGAATGTTTTAAATGCGTTTCTCATTAACCGAATGTAAATTCTTGCTCCAAGATGGGTATATGTTGATGCCTTGTATGAAGATACAGAGTGGAGTGGTTAAACGTGTTAACAACTTTACTGAGTCGGAAATTTGGATCAGCTTCAATCAGTCAGTGACCGATCAAATCCCTGCATGGACACAAAAGGTGCGACTGATTTTTGCCGAACTAAGTCATCTATAGCAACAGTGAGATATATCCGGTTACCTAATAAGGAATTGTGGTTCAGTAGCTTAAGGAGATGACTATCAACCATTGCGTCACGGATTCGAGCTCCGCCCCACCTATCGTGGTTCGGGCAGCCAGGTACTACCATTAGATGTGGTTCAATGCCTACCACATAGTTGTACGCGAGGTCGCTAAGTGTATTACGTCCTTTTGCCCTCAAATGCCCTCGTATGCGTTCACAGACTCTGCTAAAGAAGCCCTATTCACTGCCTTCACGTGGTGGTGTTTCCAAAGAAGTGAAACGGCGTAAGCGAATGTCCGGCGCTTATCACCGCTTTGGTGGATACTTAGAGGCTATCTAAGGGATTTGGAAAACCCTGATTCCAAACCAATGGTGAACAATGGCTCCGGGTTCCAGATGGAACCAATGGAATGTGAACCTATTTTGGTCACCGGCAACCATGGGCATACAGCTCCCGATGTTGCCCTACTGGTTTGTGGATGGGACTTTAAATCAAAGGCTAGGGGAGTGGCCCCCTCGGACAGTCACCTAGATAGTATCCCAGTCCCCAGATAAAATGTGAAGTTACAGTATAAAATGAAGAATTTGAAGCAATTTAAAAACTTTCCTGCGAATACTCAAACCCTGTGCACTACGAACTATATGGTCGGTTGCTCAACTTATTCCTATTATATTGTTTTTGTTGTTTTTACGAATAAACTGTATTTTTTTATTACCATCTTCACTTTTTCCTTTACCTTCACTTCACTCAGCCGCTCTCCATTGTTTAGACTTCTGGTCCGTCTGTACCGTTTTGAGTCGCTGAACAGTTGCCCTCATAAAGCTGTCTTCCAGTGAGACATCTGACATAGTTATCCTGAAACCACGCATACTGCTTAAGCTTACTGCCTTTAATGTTCGCACTTTGATGCAGATCGTACAACAGCCAGGTATCGCTAGAACTCTGGAAAGCCTCACTATTGATGTATGCTGCGTCTCAGAGACTCGCATACAAATAAGAATTAGTTCCCTGTCTGTCATCTTGAAAATTATGTTTCATGTGTTGTTATGCGGGGACACTGTGGCATCGGCAACCAGCCTCGCTGGTGTTGTTGTCGCACTAAGCGCAAGAGTGGAGCTTCACTACTTGACTAGATCCTTATTAACAGTCGTCTGTGTGCCGTTAGGCTAGAAGGTTTAACTCAAAAGTAAGAAGTAATCAGCAGAAGAAACGACGTCTTTGTCATCTCTACCTGTGCCCCGACAGATTCCAGCCTGGATGCTACCAAAGAATGAATCCTGTTATCAACTGAATGAACTTCTCAATCAAGCGCGCTCGACAAATATCGTAGTGCTAGCTGGGACTTGAATGCGCATATCAGGCGTCTAGACTTAGATGAGAGTCGTTTAGGTGGCCAATGTAGACTAGTTGGCCGCAGGTCGGATAATGAGAATCGTCTTCTGCAGCTTTACGCAGATCACAACCTGTTTCTAGCCAGCATCAACTTCCAGCACAACCAACGCCGTTGTGCTACTTGGCGCCCTTCCTCTCCCACTCAAGCCTGGATTCAAATAGATCATATTGTAATGAGCTGCCGAAGGCGTGGATGCAGACAGGACTGTTGCTCCATATAAAGTATTTGCCTGGACTCTGATTATGCTTTAATGTGTACATAGCTCGTTTTTCTATTTGATGGTCATCAAAATCATCATCCTAAACAGATAGACGCAAGCAAATTAGTTTCACCTAACATTGCAGCTAAATACCAATTCGAGCTAGGTTTAAGGCTAGCTACCGATCCTCCAGAAATTGCAGACCAGCATTGCCTGCACTTGCGAGGCGCCATGAAAATGGTGAGTAAAGCCGGTTGTGGCTTAGAAGAACGTTCCACCAATAAACACTGCACCTCTCCAAGCTCCCAGCAACTACTTGATGCCTAACGGACTATTCCGGCAGATACCGAGTAAAATAGTTTGCATAAATCTATTACGCGAAAGATTACACAACGCTTGCGCAACGACCGTGAGGGTTGGTATTCAAAAAGAGCGAATGAGATGGAAGCAGAAACTGCATCTGGCAGTAGTCGGAAGCTTTTCCAGATCATCCGGCCCAGTGGAAGCAAGAAGCCTGGAGTCAGTGAGACGGTCTGTGAGGTAGATGGTACGCCGATAAACAATCTTCAAAGACACCTGAAACGCTGGGCTGAGCATTTCGTAAAGCAGTTTAGTTGGCCTACTGCTCCAGCATCTTCAACTTCAGTGTATCGTGCTCCATGGTCAGTTAACATAAACCCACAGGTCATGGAGGCATTGATCATATGTTAACCCTCCGCCAGATGCCTGAATATCGCCGCACGTATTACAAGCCAACAATGGTTATGTTTCTTGCCATTAAGGCTGCGTTCGATTCGTTGGACAGAGTTGAAATTATCTGTTAGAAAGGGTCTTGTCTGCAAAATTTATTAACATCCTGAAACCCCTATATAATAACACCTCAGGTAGAATGGGGGCATGCAACCACCTGTCTCCATTGTTCCAAACCAGTAGTGGAGTTAGGCAGGGTTTCCCGATTTCCCCATTTCTCTTTAAAATTTCCATCGATGACATTCTTGACACAGCTATGAAGGAGATGTGTGGTGGTGGTGTAGATCTACTATCCAAAGAACGGCTATTCGACCTTGAATATGCGGACAATATCGTCCTACTGCGCGATAACACAAACTACTCAAATAGCACTTAATCAGTTGGCGATTAGTGTCCGTTAAGTATGGTATGTGTCTTGCACCACTGAGGTGCAAAGTTCTGCTAGATTGGCAGGAGTCTGTGCTTGCGCTTGCTCTCAGTGTCGAGTCGTTGGAAGTAGTCAAGAAGTTCGTGTATCTGAGGAGTTGTCTGATTAACGAAATTTCTAACCGCATTTCGAAAGCTAGAGTAGCATACACTAACCTGGGTCACCTTTGGAGCCGTCACAGTGTCAGTCTGACAGTAAAAGGTCTGGTTTACAACGCTTTGGTGAGAGCAGTTTTGCTCTGCGTCCGTGAAACCTAGCCGTGGAACTGGATGAAACAAGTGGTCAGAGTATGATGTGGTACCGTTGAATGAAGGATAGCTGTATTGGGTCAGCATGTGTTGGTGCTTCGCGACTCTGTGGGCGGGGTCCGAGAGATCAAGCAACTGAGTGGCTTGATACGTTATCAGATATAGCTAAGAATTAAAACCAGTGGCCGTCATGCTGTAGCTTCCTTCTATTTTCTGTTGTTGAAAGGTAACGAATGTTTTGTTTTAAATATATCTTACTAGAATGCTCTTCTAATCATTCTATTCTTGTAGTGTTTTTCTTTTTACTCATCAACTTCCCGTCGCTTTATGTCTTCATAAGAGTGTTACATTATTTTGTGTGGTGCATTTCTTGGTGTTCTTGTTGTACCCTGTTCGTTACCGCTTTACACCCTATTCTCCTGCCCTTATGCCTGTCTACAACTTTCGACCACATTTATTTAAAACTTCTCCATCTATGATCCTGCTGCCTTTCCATTTTTCAATTGACGGAAAAAGTTGTTTTAGTTTACATAACGCAGAACCAGTGGTGAAATATAATGGAATGGAAAATGAGGTAGAAATAGGATATCCAAAATGCATGATATAAACAAGGTGTGGAAAATCAACCAACCAGTCAATCAATATAAACATAGGACCAGGCATTACTGCGTAACGGTCCAAGTCACCACACCTCATATCAGTACGTCAAGTAAAAAGCAGTGAGGTGCAAGATGAAGATAAGAAATTTCAGTCAAGAAAAATATAAAGTACGAGAGGAAAGAAAGGAAGAAAGAAAAAATGGTGAGGTTCGATATAGCGTCGTTAAGATGAGGATAATGTGTGCATAGATCTGTACCACTGACATCGGTTCTCAGCCATGTGATCACCTAGAGTCTCCAACCACTGGTTCCTCTTGTCCCACGGACCCCAACCACCTAGTCTGCATCGCCCCACATGGCTCAAACCAACAATCAAAGACTTCATACATTGGTGCCATGTTTTAGTCTGGCCACCTCTAGCCTTATTCCAGAGTAAACTTACTTCGGCCACCACTGTGTGACGAGGCAATCGACGACTAGGCATACATAGTACGTGTCCCAACCATCTCAGTCAATAAAGGTTCATAACCTCGTCAACTGATTCACCTCTACTCCCTAAAACTTTATACCTGACATCTGCGTTACTCATGTAGTGACACCACGGAATACGGCCTATACTACGAAGGCAACGGTGGTCAAACACTTGAAGTTTCATGTCTTCCACCTTTAATGGCCATGTTTCACAACCATACAGTAGAACAGAGTGGACTGCTGTGCAGTACACGTGACCCTTAATAGACAAACGGATATCACGGCGGCGCCATAGGTGGCGTAAGTTGATGAAAGCCAATCGAGCCTCTTGTATATCTGTGCAGAGATTTCATCGGCCACTGAGCCACCAGGGCAGGTCTGATCCTACTTCCCAGGTAAGTGAAGTGGTCAACACACTCAACCACTACACTCTCTATTGTTAGCCACGGTACTGCTGAAGACCAGTCCTGGAGCAAAAATTTGCATTTGGGTGGTGAAAACCGCATCCCAAATATTCTCAAATTCCCACTCAAAGTGTTGAGAAGACTCTGCATCTTGTCGTCACCTAATAGGACTATGTCATCTGCATATTCTAGATCTAGCGAAAATTCATCTGTGATTGGGTCAACGTCTGTGTAACCAGATGACGAGAGGGAAACCTCCATAAGTATATCTATGATAAAATTAAATAAGAATGGAGATGGTGGGCATCCTTGACGGACACCACTCGATGAGTGTAACTCCCTGGACAACTTGCCATAGGCTCTAACATGCCCACAAGTTTCCGAGTAGAGAGCTTTAAATAAGGTGATGTACTTACTAGGCACGCCTTTCAGTGACAGACATTGCCATAAGACTTCTCGATCAACGGAGTCAAATGCCACCTTCAAGATGTGAACCCAAAAATGGTCGGACAGGTAAAATGTAGTAAACGGAAGTAAACCACACGTGACGGATAAAAACAGCTTCTCTAAAGGTGAGAAGTGTACATACACAAATTGAGACGCAGTATGGTTTATTCCATCAGAAACAGGAGTGAAAACGGAAAGATAAACGGTAGGCAACTACAGAGGTGATTGTAAGGATATCAATATGTACAATTGGGAATGCAGTTAAGAAGGATAACAATGAAGTGGTTGCTGCGGCAGCACAAGCCACATTTTATTGGAGAAACGAGTACGCTTTGTGCTACTGATAAGTGAGTGAACGACATTGCTGTGATATATAATAAGAGGAGATATTCAAATAGCAGGAACTTTTAAGAAACAAAACGAGACTTATCAGAAAAACACGCAGAACCAATGGAACCCAAATAACAATTCTTTGTGAAAGCATGAAGGCAGACAGGATTTGCATGATGTGCTTTGAATGCAAGGTTGTGATACTTTATCAATGCCCAACATAATTTCCTCATAAACAATTCCACCAACCCTTACCAGTCTAGTGCTATCATTTAACAGGAACTTTCAATTACACATGCAGTTTACATTACGAGGTTAGTTTGCACCTAAACGCGTACATTATGGAAAAGCAGATATTTGTACTCTTTTAAAGTAAAATCTTGTGTAACAAACTAGAAAAAATGTAATAATACGTTTACATACATACTGAAATTTTATGCAGGTGTTTGCATGAGATTAAAATGAACGATGACACATTAAGGCATACCTGATGACTTTTGAGAATCAGAATAGTTCTCACCGAATTTCCTGGAAGTTGAAGAAAATAGACCAGTTTTTACTCTCTCTTTATGGTCACGTTCACGCCTTCTTGCTTGAGAATGAAAGTATTCTTTACTAACACCCCCACGATTAGACGGAGTTTCAACACGCCTTTCCCTATAGGATCTAAAGCAAAATTAGGTTTCAAAAAAAGATTCTACCTTTCTTTATTTGTGCCATCGTGTTTGTTGAACCGCAGTTCAAGATTCTCAGCCTCTTGTCGCTTTTTAGCGGCCAATTTATCGAGACCGAATAAAGAGTGTCGAGGTTGTTTGAAATTCTCCTTTGACTTAGACAAGATGAGGCCGCCAACTTCCCTTGCAGACCCGTCTAAACGATCTCTTTCCTCAAAAAGATCCATAAAACTGAATACAACAAATTTGATATGGCTAATGTAATGGGAATTCTTAAAGGTGCTTTCTCTACTAATAAATACGAAAGTTTTTACACAATGTTTGTTGGAATTACAGTCACGAACTTGTAAAATCACCTAAGAAAAGTAAATAAGAAAACATCGCATGTAAACATTTATATTTATCATATTACTCAGATAAATTTTCGTTTCTCGTACGCCCCTACCAACTGATTTTAGCAATAGTTGTGAAAAGTTGCCTTCAGTGGTGAAGAAATTGACGGAAAAATTAAATGTAGACTCCATTTTACACTCAGAACGAAATATTTTGTTGTTAAGTTGATCTATTTGTATCACAAGAAACTTCCTTTTGACGATCGAAAGTGGATAATTGTGTCATTTGTTATTGTCTACAGATTTACTATGTACCAAAGTACATAGATTAAAACAGACAGAAAAGTTGTTGTTCGTATTTCTGAACGCATTTTTAAGGATCTTAAATAAAAAAAGTTAAAACATATTCACCAAAACAATTGCTTGTCAACTGCTGGATACTGAACATGAAGCATAAAACCTTGAGTTATTTCATCCAATTAATAACCAGAAGAACTCAGAGTTGTCGCGTTCCACCGAAGTCATTGCAACTAAAAGGATAAAGCCTAACCCACCTATTAAAAAGGGTTGGGAAAAGGTTTAAAGTGGCCAAACCAAGACATGGCACTAGTCCATGAAACCTCTAATTGTTGGTGTAAGCCGCGTGGAGAGATGTAGACTCCTGGACTGAGGTTCCCATGACGAAAGAAGTCAGTGGTTGAGGACTCTTATGAAATGGCTGAAAATCGGTCACAATGGAGCAGATGTTTTCACTCAATGACATCTTCTTAACCTTAAATATTCCCACTAACTTTCATTTTCAGATTGTTTATTCTCTCACACAACTTCATCTATTTTGATATCATTTTTTTCCGATCCACCTGATCTTTGTGTACTACTTACTGTGGAGTGCAGCAACTTGAGCCCATGCACTTGTCTACGAGGTTCCACGTTGATTTTGTCGGTCAGTCAGTCAGTAATATTTTCCTTTGGACATTCATTCAGTTAGGTTAAGGCACAGGCATCACGTGAATGCAGTATTTCACGAAGTATAACTTCGCAAGGTAAACAATCCCATCAATCAACTTAGTTTAATGTTCAGCAAAATAGAAGTTCATATCGTATTCTTAACCGCTATATTTTAGCCCAAAAAGTCGCATATGCCTACATGTTACACGCTGCTGTTGCAGTATTTGACTGTTAAGACACTGGATACTTTTTTTTACCTCATATATATGATGATTAATACTTTAGTCCCATCTTATAACGCTGTCTTCAGATCTCACCAGTGTAGAATTAATCAGTAGAAATAAGCAAAACAAATTTTCCCATCTTATGAAACCATATAAACATCTTACGATTAGCATCTAATCATGAATTTATATTCTGTGGTTAAGTGATGATTTGAAGATGATGGATGAGGGTGAAAACGTCGCTGAGCTTCATCAGTCAATACTTTTGACAATCATAACAGAAAGACCAAATTAGAAAACATCGCATACAAGTGCGTTCGGTTCAAGTTGCCACAATTCACAGCAGCACGCAAACAACGATTCGGAAGATAAGGAATTTGAAAATGAAGGTTGGCGGAAATATCAAAACTTCGGAAGACATCACAAAGTGAACGCATTCACGCCACTGTGACTAATTTTTAGCCAATGTTCTCGGGAATCCTGGCCAGCTAATCTACATCTCCGCACACGGCTCACACCAACAGTCAGAGACTTCACAGACTGGTACCACTTTTTGGTCTGGTCTGCTTGAGCATTCCTTCAACCCAATCTCACCTCAGCTAACATTGCGTATCAGGATAAGTGGTGGCTTGGCATGCATGGAGCATATCTCAGCCATCTCAGTAGCTGAGGGTACACAACCTCGTCGACTGACTTCAATATCTTTCCTACTACCCTCCGCCTAACCTCGACACTGCCAACATGGTGATTTCAACATGCGCAAGCAATGCTGAGAAGACATCTGTGGTCAAATGCCTGTAGAGTCTCTTCATATCCTCTACTTTCAGTGGCTATGTCTCAGCCATGTAACACGACAGAATGGACCGCGGCATAGTATAATCGTCCTTTAAAAGGTAGTCAGATATCTCCTCTCGTCATCTGGTTACACAGACGTTGACCCAATCACAGATGAATTTTCGCTAGATCTAGAATATGCAGGTGACATAGTCCTATTAGGTGACGACAAGATACAGAGTCTTCTCAACACTTTGAGTGGGAATTTGAGAATATTTGGGATGCGGTTTTCACCACCCAAATGCAAATTTTTGCTCCAGGACTGGTCTTCAGCAGTACCGTGGCTAACAATAGAGAGTGTAGTGGTTGAGTGTGTTGACCACTTCACTTACCTGGGAAGTAGGATCAGACCTGCCCTGGTGGCTCAGTGGCCGATGAAATCTCTGCACAGATATACAAGAGGCTCGATTGGCTTTCATCAGCTTACGCCACCTATGGCGCCGCCGTGATATCCGTTTGTCTATTAAGGGTCACGTGTACTGCACAGCAGTCCACTCTGTTCTACTGTATGGTTGTGAAACATGGCCATTAAAGGTGGAAGACATGAAACTTCAAGTGTTTGACCACCGTTGCCTTCGTAGTATAGGCCGTATTCCGTGGTGTCACTACATGAGTAACGCAGATGTCAGGTATAAAGTTTTAGGGAGTAGAGGTGAATCAGTTGACGAGGTTATGAACCTTTATTGACTGAGATGGTTGGGACACGTACTATGTATGCCTAGTCGTCGATTGCCTCGTCACACAGTGGTGGCCGAAGTAAGTTTACTCTGGAATAAGGCTAGAGGTGGCCAGACTAAAACATGGCACCAATGTATGAAGTCTTTGATTGTTGGTTTGAGCCATGTGGGGCGATGCAGACTAGGTGGTTGGGGTCCGTGGGACAAGAGGAACCAGTGGTTGGAGACTCTAGGTGATCACATGGCTGAGAACCGATGTCAGTGGTACAGATCTATGCACACATTATCCTCATCTTAACGACGCTATATCGAACCTCACCATTTTTTCTTTCTTCCTTTCTTTCCTCTCGTACTTTATATTTTTCTTGACTGAAATTTCTTATCTTCATCTTGCACCTCACTGCTTTTTACTTGACGTACTGATATGAGGTGTGGTGACTTGGACCGTTACGCAGTAATGCCTGGTCCTATGTTGATATTGATGATGATATGTTGGATTACTCACCAGTTGGTGCCACAGATGATGCAAGTTTGCGAATCCTGGTGAGACCATTAGTATCCCACCTGAGATTTTGTCAACAACCATCTGATTTTGGTTGATGCGACCCCTCATGTAATTGCAGTGGTCAAATGCGTTGACCACTTCACTTACCATCCTTAAGCTGAAAGTAGCTGTAGACCAGTCCTGAAGCCTTATTTTATATTTCACAGGTGCGGAGGGAATACAAATATACTCTGATTTCTGGTCAACGCCTTCAGTAAACCCTGCATCCTGTCAGCATCTTCACCAAACATGACAAAGTCGTCTGAATACTCCAAGTCAACCGATGCCCTGCAGCGAATAGATCAATCTCTGTAAAGTCAAACCTAATTAAGGTTGTGTCCATTAATACACCTATACATCTTTCAGCCATGCAGGGAAATGTAAACTCCTAGGCTGGGGTACAGGAAAAAGCATAAACCAGTGGTTGGAGACTTTAGATGACATGCTTTAGAACCAGTTTCAGCAGCACAGATGTATCCATTAATTATCCTCACATCAATCGTCAAACAAGTATTATCTCATTTGTCCTTGCCCACTTTTGATAGATATCTACCATTTTTACTGCTTTCTTACTCGTTTGTTAATCTTTCATCTCAGAGCATTCTTGCTGGATACGCTGATATGAGCTGTGGCAACTTGGACCTTCACGCAGAAATGACAGGTTCTTGTTGATCGTCTACCCCTCCGGAAAGAAGCTAAATAGGAGTGGTGACAGTGGGCAACCCTAGCGGACCCATATGATCATCACAAGAAGACCTCTCTCCCTTTCTACAATGTGGAATGAATAGTGATGTATACCGGAATGATGGGAGAGCTCCGGATTTCCATACACTAACTAGTATCACCGTTACTTACATCAACAGTTTCCGACCTCCATTCTTAGAAGCTTCAGGCGGCAAACCATCAGGTCCTGTTACTTTGCATTATTTTATATATGAAACAACCTTCTCAGCTTTGAGAAAAGTTGCAGAACCGATACCCACATCCTATTTAGGTTCAGACTGTATGATGGGAAACAGAAGCGTTGTGGTAGGCCAATCGACCTGTTTTCCAAATCATTCTGCCCAACATTCTAGCTACCTGTTCTGAGAGATTGTCAAGGGATTATTTTTTCGGCAATGGTCATACAAATATCATCATCTTTTAGCTGGTATCCTTTAGAGGATTGAATAGGTGCCTAACATTACCGAAAGCTGATGTCCTTGACAGTTTCTTTTGCTTTCGCAATCCTACATCGATACTTTCCCACGATGGCTTATGGCAACATGATTTGTGTTCATGGTTAGTTGGATATTGGCGAAAGTCAAGAGACAATTTCTCCTCCTGAAGCTGCCAGAAACAAGTGATTTTCAGAAGCAAGTTGTAAAAGATCACTGTTGTCAGTTCTTTGGCATAGGATGTAGTAGACACCTGCAGGATGTGATTTGAGATGGACTTGACTTCCCTACTGGGGCGATGAAGTCATTCTTTGCTATGACTAAAATTGAATGCATAAAGCAAAATTAAAAGCTTTTAACAGGGCTCATTTTTTGTACCGTAAATTTAGTTGATGTGCACGCAGATAGAAAGTATGAGAAAGCACCGACACGTGTCAATCTTTTCCAGTTCTTACAGATATTTTGATCGAACAGCCAATAATCAGTTGTCAACTGGTATTCGTATACGCAGACTTACAGCGTTGGCCATCTGAGGCTAAGTGAATAACCACACTAGTCCTGCACGTGTGCCTCAGAAACACAGCAAGCATAGTTGGTTTGAGATTCCACCTTTTGTAAATGATATCTGTCGTCTGATTTGACACAATAAGAACGTTTAAAGCTTCAATTTGAAATTGGTACCATAGTTTTAATAGTCTAGGAATGATGTCTTGCTGACTTGAATCGATAGGAATGGTTGCACAGAGAAGCTGAGAAAACTAAGAGAGACAACACTTATATTCTTTAGTGAAAATAAAGGTAAGAAAGGTAGGATGTAGCCAGTTGGGTTTGCATATTGCTGGAAGCGTGAATACGGTTGGCACTTTCTGGCTGCCGACACTCTGGAAACTGTTTCCGCAAGGTCCCTGAAAAGGAAATAGTTTTGCCCGACTACAGAGCCCATGGGATATTTGCTTGAGACCTGTTACAAACAACCTTACTAAGGCTGTTGTTGCCAAGAAAAACTCTTTGCTCAACATCTATGCTACTGGAGTGGCGGTGCTACGACACATGGTCTATGCTATGAAGGCAACAGTGGCAGAACACCAGAAGCCTTTTTTAGGATAGAACGAACTGTTGTACAGTACACTCGACCCTTAATAGGCAATTGGATATCTGAACAGTGCCGTAGATGGCGTAGTTTGACAGGGTCAGAGGTGTCTTTTGTATTTGTGTTAAGCTTTTGTCGGTCACTGACCTCCCACGGTTGATTTGACTCCCCAGACAAATGTAGTTGTTAACGCGTTCCATCATTTCAATTCTTAGTGCTAAACAAAGCACCAATGAAGGACCGTCCTGGAGCAACAAACTGCATCTCGGTGACGAGAAACACATTCTAAATACATAAGACGTTCATTAGACTCTGCATCTTCCCAGCGTCTTCACCCAACACGACCATTTTATCTATATCTACTAAGGAGTTTTCTGCGACAAAATCATTTCCTGAATTCAGGCAACGAGAGACCTCTATAATTACGTCTATGATAAAGTTGGATGATAATGGAGAGTAAACAACCCTGATGGACACCAACTGACGTACCTAACTCAACCCACACCTAATAACCTAACTCACCACAGACTCTAACACGCCCAAGCGTTTTCGATTACAGAATCTTCAAAAAGTGACATACTTACTTGACACCGCTTCCAGTGGGTACAGTGGTCGGTGAATGCAATCACTTCATTTCCTATTGTTAGACGAGGCAGTAGTGCATATCAGTCCTGGGGCAACAATTTGTAATTAAGTGATGAGAAGTGTATCCCAAACACTATCGTGACTACTCAAGAAGTCCATAAGACCCCGTCTTTACTTAACACCGTTAATGGAAGTTAGGAAGTTGTCCATCAAAACTATCCACCATAAATGTTTTGTTTTTCACTTTTATCATTTAATGTTAGAACTTATTATCAGAAAGAAAACTCTTTACATCCCATGACTTGACTGATAACCGACCGTTGATACTGACTAACTGTTTAAGACCGTTTGGCAAGTAGGCTCAAGGTCGCTATTACTTATCTTTTCTCCTATCAATGTAAATGGGGCAGGAATAGACTTTTATGTACTAGGTTAGTGCAAAAGCGAAGTCCTTTAGAATTTAAAACCACTTAGCAAACAAGATCCTTGGAACGGTTGCACTTAAGGTTACGAGAAAACAACCATACGCGTTACCTTGAACACTAACTACACTAGGATTTCAAATAATGACAGTCAGTTGCTTGTTGATGACAATCTGGTTACAAAGTTTTCGAACCCTACGTACTGGAGCTAGCGTATTTTTAACTGTTTACTCTCGTTATGAAAACAGACTAGGTTTAATGTGAGGCAGTGACATGAGCACAAACATCTACCAGTTGCAGTTCTAAAGATTACTGTTCTAATAAGAGGTTCTCGGCTTACATAACGCAGAAAACTCGTTCAAGCAAAATATACACTTTTCGCAGTAAAAGTAGTTTTTCGAGGAGCTTGAGAAATCTAATTAATTATTGTACTAGTTAGCTAGATTGGCTTTTTACCCACACGTTTTCAAAAAAGCATACAGATAAAAATTTGTAGTGAGACAAGAACCATCCTAATCGATTAGGTCTATTGTCATAGGTACTCATCAGGATTCGAAGTAAATGCAGCTAAGTAGTTACAATGCATCAGTTTTCAGAATCCGCTAATGAAAAGATAAGATTCAGTTTAAACTACATAATCAGAAAGCTCGTCGAAAAACCAGCGTTCATAACAAAGAAAGGGCACAGATCATTTTCGTCTAACATCCTCGGGTGAAAATTGTCTGAATTTCATATTGACAACAGGTTTGAGTGGGTCAGATAGAGTGAGAAAGAACCTAATATAAGTTCTGCGATTTTAAACAACATATGTTGTTTGTTGTTGTGCGGTAATATTACCGCAAAACAAGGCCTAATACACTGACCGATAGCGTATGTTGAATAAACATGCAACGTAGTTCCATCATTTGTTATGAATGTATCCTCAGCCTACCGTAAACCAAGAAAAAGTCGAGTGAAGTACACACATAATTCACAGTTACTGGTCAATTTTCGTCAATCTTATATCACTATGTATGTCACTAGTTGTACAGACAGTAATTCAAAATACTCACTCAAAATCGAGGTAAAAAGACTACTCAGCTGAGCGAGGAATAGGAAGACATGACAAATATGCCGGCTGACAACATAGCAAAGGCTAATACTTTACAACTGTAAAGTTAACAGGTTCCTTTAAAGGCACCAGTCCACACAGAATGTATTTACGTTTAATAGCAAACCCGAATCAGAAAAGCCAGTGAAACTTATGAAATTGAAAAGAAACACTTAAATCGAACCTGTAAATTCGGCAGCTAACAAGTATCTGTTATCAAATTTGACAAACCAAAAGAAGCTCACAGACAGGCATTATACAGACAAACGACCTTGAACAGTTTGAAAACACTTCGGACTTTCCATCCAATATCCAATATTGATAGTGCCAGTTTAGAAAACTGGTAGTTTTTGATCTCTCACATCTAGTTACAACAAGATCCACTATCCCATATCTTTAAATGAGCTAGTTTTAACCAGTTGACTTCATCGAGCTTGCTTCTAGGTCTTGCGGAAAGGTTCCAGGTCTTTGGCGGTCTACCCACCCGACTGCTGTAGCTGTGTTTAGCTCGACGAGTGGTCGGGTGCTGGTTGTATTTGTAGGGAGTGTGTCCTTGTTTCCATAGAACTGTAGTGCGGACGGGTTCCCCAAGTGTCGTGTCAGCTGACAATTGGTCGGACAGTTTGTAAAAAAGAAACGAAGTTGTGCAGAGAGATCAAGGGAGAGAAAGTGGGGGGAAAAATAAACAATAGAAAAAACGATTGGGAAAAAGGAAACGGTACGGAAGAAGAAACACTGGTATATCCCTGCGAGAGTAGTGGTGGGAGAGACTTTATTAAAATGTGAGGACGTAAAGTCGGTAGGAAGAGAGGGAGAAAATAACATTATAGGATGGCTTATGAGAATAGAGAGAGATCGCAGAGTTAGTGCTTGTACAACGTATTCGATAATGGGTCGGCCGTACTGAGTTAGTAGGTCGTGTCAGACTAACCCGTATCCAAGCTGGATGAGCGCAATCCGTGCGTCGCTGCGTAACTGTCCAACCTCTTCTTGGAGCCATCAACAGACAGGTCGGCAGCAATGTCGCCAAGGAATGCATTCCAGGGGCCACAAACCCATAGACAGAAATGTGTGAACGCGCACAGGATTTTGCTCTTTGATGAGCGGTTCTCCTTTGGGTACCGCGACGATCGCCACAGTGGCCGCTCGGTAGGATTCCACTGTTCGGACGACTTAGATTACTGAGTATTCTGCAAACCGTTATCAAGTCACCACGCAATCTACGGTAGCTTAGGGAGTAAAGCCTCAGATCTCTCAATCTGTCCTCATAGGGTTTTCGCCTCATTCCAGTGACACAAATGTAGCTCACCTTTGGAATCTCTTAAGGAGGTTCACATCTCTTTTAAGATATGGTGGTGCAATGACGTTCCGGGTCCAGGGCACCTAGTTGTCAGCGCATGAATTGCAGTACTGCGTAGGCTCTGGAGGCATCTCCTAGATAATTGGAGCTGGTGTTTAGCTTGTCAGTCAGTATCAGTCCTAGGTCTTTCTCTGAGGTGCTGTGGGAAAGTTGTGTTGCGCAGAGAGAATAGGGTGCCTTCTGAGAGCCAAGGGTGCGAAGAAACGTGGCTCGGCACTTACCTAGGCTAACTGAAAGTTCATTAATATTCACCTTTCTGCAAGTAATCCGAGGTCACTTTGCGGTGCACTTGATTCTGTTTCGGACGTCTCAGCTCTCCATGTTGAGCATCACTAAGTGCTCCCCTCTTTCTAAGTACTCCTTGACACAGCCATCTACAGGGCTCTCCATTACTTTTGACACCGTTGGTAGAAGGGTTATGGGTAGGTAGTATTTTGGGTTCTGCCTGTCTCCACTTGTGAAGATGGGGGACGGAATAGCATTTTTCCACTCTTGTGGAAGCATGTGATTGTCTAAGGAGTGTTGAAACAAGTTACACAGCGAACCACACAAGGCACCCGCGCATTGCTTCAGCGCAGTCGGTCGGATGTCGTCACACCCTGGTGATCTCCTTGTGCGGAGCTTTGACAGTTTTTCGAGGACCATAACAGGAGTTGCCTTTATTCCAGGTCACTCTACTGCATTCGGGGTGTTGAATAATGGTCAGACAGTTGGCAATTTCGGTTCGCTGGAGAGGTATTGAGTTGCGTATCGAGGGTGTCACTAAAGGCTTCGGCGATCTCTAGTTCGAAGAGATTCTCTCCATCTAGGCCTTTCAGGACGCAAGCCCCCTGGCAGGCGGATTTTCCACCTGCCATCAATCGACATATGTTTTTAGGGTTTGCCTCTAGCTTCTGGCCAAGGTTCGTCTGGAACGACCTACTGTCTCTCCTCACTTTGATGTTGCATCAATTTGGTAGGGCCACATTCGCGGCTTGGTCAGACTGTCTTCTGAAGGTCCTCCACTCATGCCATGCTTTCCCCTCGGCTATCAAAGGGCGTTCAGTGCCTGGCTTCAGCCATGAGGTTAGCTTTCGCGGCCTTGCTGTAGTGACTGGGACTTTCTCAGAGATAGCCCTATCGATGATATTGCTACCCAGTTCCCAGTGCTGATCAGTCAAAAGGTTTCTGCGCCATTGAGGAAATGGTGCCGTCGACAGATATTGGTCCATCGTCAGGCAGTTAGCCTTGCTGTAGCAAAGACAAGGGCAGGATCCCTCCAATGTCAGTTGTTTGTTAAATAGCAGATCGGACACTACCATGCAGTGATCGCTGCCGCCAGGGGTTCGAACCTGAACATTTTCAGCTAGCAGGTAGTCGCTGGTAAAAAGGTGGTCCAGTTGGGACGGTTTTCCGCCCGACCCACAGTGAGTGTCATCGCCAATATTCTTGTGCAGTTCAGCCTTTTAGATAGTGTTCAGCGGGTTTCGGTCGGACTTTCGGCCTCACGCTCCCTTGTCCTGCCCAAGATTGAGAATTGGAGCACTCAAGTCGCCGGCCATTATGACCCCGTTATATCCAATGGATATCGCTCCGGACATAACTTGCAGCAGTTACCGGTTATGTTCCACATTGCTAGCCAGAGTTCTGTAGACACACCCCTACCAGGCACTTCGTGTGTCCAACCGCAAATGACACCAGATGGATTCTGAAAGCCCTAGAAGCAGCGTTTCAGTTGCTCGTTCATTTTTAAGATAGTCACTCATAAGCAATGCCACTTCCCCTCCTTCTTTGAACTCCCTGTCTCCACTCAATAGACGCATGCCCTTCATACCGGTTTAGATGTCATTAATATCCGGTGGTAACCGAGTTTCCGCTAGGATTATGACCTTTGGAGATAAGCAGAAGAGGAGAGATCGTAATTCCCCCACCTTACTTCTATGTGCCACCACGTTACTGTAAAGACACTTGGACATGTTTCCAACAACATGGGGCGACTTGGTGGTGACGGACTGAAGGGGGTCGTGCACAATGGCAAAACTTGATACAGGACGGCCAGCTCCAGTGGAGCCGACCCGACCACATTTTTTCCCACAGTGGTTTCTGGGGATTTTATAGAGTCCAGGCTGGTTTGGATATCTTGTCTGCTGACAGTGACGGTGACTTCGGCACTAGGTGGGCTGTCGTTTGCTGTTTTTGCGGTGTCCCGAAGTTGCCTTCATAACAACGAATGTTCTCTCTGGTGTTGCCTTTTGCTGCGTACCAAATTTGCAGCACTTTGGTCAAAGGTTCTTGACAGCAGAAGTTAATGGCCGTCAACTTGGGTGGTGTTATCGTCATCAAATGTGAGGGACGTGGCAGTCTGCAGACCGCCGCCTCCGCCACTCCACTTAACCCTATCCTCGCTGACAACTACTGGCATTGCCGGACGTCGTGAGCATATTTCTCTGCTAATGTTCCGGTTGTTAGTTTCGGTACGTCTTGAACAACCATGGTTGTTGGTTCCAGCCCATTCGGTGCTTCGCGAGATACTTTTCTCGCTGACCACGGCCGTCCTGGCCTGGCCCCAATGCTAGGTGGCCGATTGATGACCATTGAGTGTGACAACAACAAGAATCTTTCCGCTTCTTTGGTTGAGCTCAGGGCCACTGTCATCGGTGGGGGCTTTCCCTGAGGTGGGTAGTTTCCTTTGCTTCTACGCCGCCCAGTCCTAGTATTGTGCATACCGTTTCTCACTGCTGTTTACCAAGAGACTCTGAGTTCTTAAGGAGGCTATAACGCCACACAGGGACGTTCAATAGGATGATGGAATTCGATTTGTTATCAACAGCTCTGTTGTCGTGCGCCGTGGGTAGGTTTTTATGGGAGGGGTGCATCTGCTTTTCACCCTGACCCATTTTCCCCGATGTGCAGTAGGGGTAGCCGTTAAAGTGAATTCAGGGTTAGAGACTGATGCAGTTGGTCATCGTTCGGGTCTTTTCGGGGTATTCACTAGTATGACTGTCCGGGAACGGTGCTGACACTCTTGCAATTTGGACCTCGGGTAGTGGCCTGTGCGGGTAACGGCATCACGGTAGCCACTGCAATGTCTTTTACGATCTCTCTTAGAGAACCTTTAGAGAACAGTGCCCTTATACGGCACTGTGGCCAGGTGTACCAGAACCACATGCATAGGTAGCGCACCATGAAGGTATAATATTGGTTTGGTATGTCCCCATTACACTGACTGCGCAACCACTTATTGCAGATGTTGCACTCAAAGGCAACATCGATATTGGCTACGGTAAGACTACACGTACGGAAGTCGTCAGTTTGGCTGGAGGGTCTAGTTGACGACTTTCTTTTCCTTCTCCTCCATCTGTCAGTGGTAGCCTTCACAAGTAGGCCGGGCTTTAGGCTGGTGGTACAAGAAAGACGTGCCCCTCTAGGAACTAAAGCACGAGAGTTCAGAGGAACAGGAGTACGACATTTCGCAGAAACTGGAAGTTTTCAAAGCCAATACGGAGGACCCCAAATATAGAAAACTTCAGGAACCTTATAATGTTTTGACTTTTATTCATGGAGTGTATTCAAAAACACTGACCATTGATCTTTTCTTACAGTGTTGAAGTTTAGATGATAATAAATACTACCCTCATATGATGGATTTAACATAAGGGCTACCGGTTTACAAGCATCGTCAAATTGATAATTCATGAAAATTCACAAAATGGTATCTGGTACTAGATAATTAACACACCAAGTCATTGACGGACGTAATATTATTAATACTTGCTGAAATTCATGAGATGGGCATAGCTTTTTGCCTACCGCCACACAGACACGTTCTTCCATCGAAGTTTGTGTAATAAACAGACGACGTTGTTAGTCCGTTTGCAAGGTTCGTTATTTAGTAATATAGCTGTCTATTCCTCGGAAAGTTCTTCGGTTTTTATCTTTGCTGACCAA